CAGGCAAACGGTGATAATTTAAATTATCATAGCAACAGTTGCACATTCGTGCAATTTTCAATGGCAGCATTTTAAAAAATTATAAAGTCTTAAAATAGAAATATTTCTGATCCATTGTTGTTAAAATATTGAAATTGGTCCAGGGGCAGCTGAGTTGTTAACGTTCAAAACCTTTCATAATTTACTTTTTCACAAAGTGTACTCCCATATAGAAATCACAGACGTAGTCCTACGTCAAAAATTGTTCGCATTATTGAAACCTTCAACATTTTCCAGGGCTTATAATTTATGTTCTACCAAATCTTGAATTTTCTTCAAAATCTCTCATTTTGAGTATGTTTTTTCGTTCCAGATTGTAAAAAAATCCAATTCTGTTATTTTTTGTCTAAATCGAGGATCACAAAGATTTTTAAAAGCCAAACCTCGAAAAAAATTTCATACTTCAAAACTCTGGAAAAATTCAAAGCCTCCGATTTTTGTATTTTTTTTTTAAGATTTCTGTTAGTACAGATCACGGTTCACAGTAAAAAAATAATTTTTAAATCACATCAAAGTGGATGCACTTCAGTCGTGTCAAAAATATGGTGTAATATTACTTGCCAAAAAGGACAAAATTATCATTAATACAGTGCATGAACTGACATTACGCTGCTTTTACTGCATTTGTTAATTGTTGTGGCCATAAATTTACATGCGATTTTCAACATGATTGCAGCCGAACGTACGAACGAATAGGGTGACTATAGCGCATTTTATGAAAACGTCACAAGTTTTTATGGCTGTTTTAAATCAATAATTACGAAGAAACCATAAAGCCTGCAAGGTTACTACCAAAGGCACAAATCTAGGGAACTGCATGGAAAATGTTTTCTAGAACAACTAAATAAACAGAAATGAAAATTTTCAACTTAAAAACACTAAAATGTATGAAATTTTACTAGTTTTTTTGGTACTTTCAACATACTTTTCAATTGTAATGTATGATAATTAACTTTAATCGAGTTCTTTACTTAAGAGCATTGATAGCTAAGACTTAAGTTTTTCATTTGAAATGTTGAAATCAGAAAACCACATTAAGATTAAAAAAATATAGCTAACCAAATTTGGAAATACAAAAAAAACATAAAATGTTGAATAACTCACTTAGCAGTCATTTCCGACCCTATGTTTCATGGGTATTTTTTCATAACTTTAGGAGCCCTATCTACCCTGAAAATATGTAAAACCCGGAACCAAACACCCTGTATAGTTTTGCTATGGGATGGCTGAATATCAACATGAAGCTTTAGTGCGATAATTTATTAGAGTACGGCAGTGTGAAAAATTAACAGAAGTTGAAATTGAGCGAAGGGCCATTGATGTGACAATACTAATCAAATGTGCACTCTTTTGCCTAGCTCACTTGATGGGTGAGAAGACTTGAAGTATTTCCTCGAATCTACAAGCAAAAGAGTGCTCATAGAAGAGAAGTCGGATCAGTAATATGAGAAGACTAACTAACTGGGACCTCTATCTATTTCATTTAAAGAATGATAATTCAATTAATTCATTCAAATTAAGACGCACTCACAATTAGAAAGTGTTTCTGATGCGATCATTAACACAATGATCTCTTCATATCGTGCTAGCTGCCCTATTCAACATAGATCATCTAATAGGGATGTGCCTTGTTAGAACGATAAGCTGGCAAAATTGAGGAAGATCAAGACAAACAATTGAAATGGCCTCAACTCCATTTTGTAAACAAACCTTGCAAGGCCATTTTCTCGCGAACTGAAACCTACATTCGCAAACCAAAACACAATTGGGTAGAAGAGAATTTTCCCTACCTGTTCATTATGTTGGTTTCCCTTGGCGGACTTCGGTACACGAGAAAATGGCCTTATAAGGTTTGTTTACAAAATGGAGTTGAGGCCTTTTCAATTGTTGGTCCTGAAATGTCCAGACGAGTGTTCAATAGAGCTAAAGCTACTTCCGATTGGGTTCAATACAAAAAGGCCCTAACTGAATACAACAGAGGCAAGCTAAACGGAAGGATTGAAGCCGGGTATGTGAAGACATCAAAAACGCTCCAGCAGCTGCAAGGATGCATATAGTTCTTTCAAAAGACCATTCAAATGGTCTTGTCAGCCTAAAAAAGAAGATGGTAGTTTTACTGCTCTTCTGAAACACTGGAAGAAATTATGAGGACTCCTTCACAGCGTCAACTCCATTTTTGCGTGAAGAGCAGGACTTTTAAATGGCGAGACATGAACGGTCAATAGATGCCTATCAGAAACATTGTGAAATCTTCACGCCTTCTAGAGTTGAATGGTCATTTCTAGATAGAGCTGGAATTAGGGCGTAACAGCTTTTGTAAACAATGACTTCTCTCGATGATTTCTCGGAAACCATGGCTCTCCCTGGCAAATCGACATCACCATCGAGTAGAGGAAGACTTCTCCTACCCGATGGATATGTTGGTTTGTGTAGGCTTGCCTTGAATTCCGAGAAATCAACGAGATAAGTCATTGTTTACAAAGGCTGTTACGCCCTAATTCCAGCTCTATCTAGATTTAGTTCTTTTCAACCTTTCAAATCTGCTTTCAAAGATGAAATATTACCAGCATTACTTCAACAGGGGAAAGAAACGCTCAGCCCCTCCTTACTCTATTCAAAGCCAGTGTTACTCTGAGCACCATACCAAAAGCATGGAGAAAGGTTCGAGTTGTTTTCATTCCAAAAGCTGGAAAAAGATATAAAACGACTCCGAAAGCCTTTAGACCCATAAGCCTTTCATTAATAAGTTTAGCGAAATTTCAATTTGCTTATCAATCAGGTAAATCTACGATAACGGCTCTACAATCGCTAGTTAATTAAATCGAGAAATCGCTTAGCCGTGGTTCCTGTTCTCGATATTGAAGGTGCATTCGACAATGCATCCTACAGCTCAATGCGTTCAGCTATGGAAGCAAAGGGCTTGGATAACTGCCTTATTAATTTGATAATGGCAATGCTCTCAGATCGAGAAATATCTGCTGATCTCGGAGATGCCCAACTAACTATAAGATCGGTGAAGAGTTGCCCTCAAGGAGGGGTACCAAGGTATTTCAGAGAAAATTCAAAGGATTTTTAACGATGAACTCTAAAAGAGTTTTGAATAGAAGTCCAAGTCAATTGTGGTAGTTCAGAATAGAATTGTTATGTAACTTTGTTGAAAATTTAATGGCAATTGTAGAGAGGATTCCTGGATCCGTGAAAAATACCAAGAGAATCGAAATTTGAGGGTACAATTCCATAGGAAGTCTGAGAAAAGTTTCAAATGAATTCCGAGGATAACTCCAAGAGCATTTGTAAAAGAATTTCTGTTGAATTTAAAGAAAAATTCTGAGGTGAATTGCATGGAAATTTTAAAAATAATTCAAGCTAATTTTAAATAAAATTATGGATGAAAGCTTCTGTGAAGTATTAGAATTAACTTTAAAATTCCAAAAAAATCTATGAATGATTAATTTTTTGGATTGCTCTGCAGACAATTTCTAGACTGTTGCAATGAAATTTTCAAGAGACTTCGAGAGAGAATCACAGATTTATTTTAGATTATTCCTACAAAGATTTCTGTGAAGTGAAATCATTCTAAAGAAAAAGCTTGAGAACATTCAAATAAAGCCCTATAAAGAGTTTTGAGCGAATTTTCAAGGTAGCTAAAACAGTGAAACCTTTTGAATACTTCAAAAGCAGAACCAAATTCAAGATCCAAGAAAAAATCTACTTTCTTAGTAGGGTAAGTGACTCCTAGTGTTTCAACTATTCGGAAAAAACATCCGTTCCCATATACATAGAAGGAAATGTGCACTGTGAACTATAGTTCACGGCTCTCGTTCATGAATATGGGAACAGATTTTTTTTTTTTGAGACTAGTTCATCTCTATTTTGCGGGAAAATGTGTATTTTACAGTTGAACCTATCATATATTTTTTTTATTAATTCTCCTCCATTTATAAGAACTGTGTACATCTAGTTGCGGTATTTCACATTTCTTGTTCCTATAGCTGCGGAACCGACTACAATTATATTAGCATTCTCAATAATGCTCGTGAAAATGCACTTAATGCTTGGAATTGCTGAATTCTCTTGGAGTATCTTGAAAATCAAAATAGAATTATCATAAAACTCTCGTCAGGATCTTCTGAGGAAATTTTATTGAAATTCAGCTTAGCATTCCCAACGCATCCTCCCAAAATTCAGTTTGACTGCTCCTTAAAATTAATTTCGTTTTTTTCTAAAACCTCCGTTGAGATTCTTCTGACCGTAACAAAAATTTCCTTCGAGTCTAGTTGAAGTATAAATCACTCTTATTTTTTGTGTCAGTACTGAAACAACATATACAATTTATATACTAATTTATCATATTCAGGAAAATCCCACAATCGTGGGTTAAACTCTCTAAAAGCATATTTATTTATAAGGACGATATGAGCTAGTAGATAGCATACAAGAACGAACGCCTTCACACCGTACTACAAAGTATACAGCCTCAGACGCGGGGGGAACAATAACAGAAACAAAAACTTTCCACTTGAGTGACTCTCGTCGTAAAACAAATTGTTTCCCCTTACCTTGGGCTGGCGAACGGAGCGCGTAGCTTTTGATTGTGCTCCACTCCACATTTTATTGTATTACCGTATGTATGGCGTTGGAAAAGCACGCACATGCGCGATACGCGCGTGTGCCTTCCGGATTGTGTTTTCCAATTCCAACCATCAGCACCGCTAGCATTGCAAGAAATGACGTCACAGCCTATATTCGTCTATGAATTGTGCGTCGCTATGTGTTATATAAAATTCTCCTGTACAAGGCAGATTTCCCCTTCCGATAGATGATGCTGCTACATGAATGACGTAATCGATGCTATACTTATTGCTATAGAGATACAATAGATACCTAGCTACTAGAAAAAATGCCCATGCTACTAATAGTTATTAATGACTTTGTTTTCCTACGATTTCCCATCATTGCAGCATTCTGATTGGCGAAGGTGAAGTGATCAAGATCAGCGATTTCGGAACCTCGCGCGAATGGAACGAGATCAGTACAAAGATGAGTTTTGCCGGCACGGTGGCCTGGATGGCACCGGAGGTGATCCGCAACGAGCCCTGCAACGAAAAGGTCGACATCTGGTCCTACGGGGTGGTCCTGTGGGAACTGTTGACCGGAGAAGTGCCATACAAGAACGTGGACTCGTCGCAGATAATTTTCGGCGTTGGAAATAACTCGCTCTACCTGCCGATTCCTTCGAGTTGTCCCGAGGGATTCAAGCTGCTCATCAAACAGTGCTGGAGTCCGAAGCCACGAAACAGGCCCTCGTTTAAGATAATCATGACGCACCTGGAGATTGCAGGTCATGAACTGCTGCGGCTATGCACCGAAGAGCAGGGCTACTATGAAACGCAAAAGTCCTGGCGGGAGGAAATCCGAAGCCATATGCAGAAGCTGACCAGCAATGGGATGAACATCCAAAAGTACGAACAGGAGCTCATCAAGAAGCGGAAGGACGAGTGGAAGCACGCTCAGGACATCCGCATGATCTACGAGCGGAAGTTGGAACGGACGAATACCATGTACCTGCAGCTGAGTGCGATCTTCGTGCAGCTGGAACAGAAGGAGAGGGAGATTGCGGAGTAAGTTGAAGATTTTTAATATTCAATTCTTCTTGGTTGATGTGATACGATACAGCGTATAAAAATGGCTGACTTGCACTACCACTTTAGGTTGATTATACGTCATTTAACGGAAAACAGTTTCTCGGAATGCCATTCCCCGAATGACCATTACGCAGAATCCATTGTCCATTTCGAAAAGCTGTTGATTTTCCTAATTACAGTGATCTCTACAACTCGATAAAGGATTATCGAGTTATAGAACACTAAAGTAACATTTTATGATTTATAATAACTTTATAGCTGTGTGCATGGAAAACATCATAAAACCTTATTTAACACTAGTTGTATTATCAACCAAAAAAACCATAAAAATGCATTGCATCCAGGAGGGCCCACACTATAGCCAGCTGCAAAAACCAGAGTTTTAAACCATTATAACAGTATTTGCATTTTATTATTTACTTTCTTTAACTATTTCAAATAGTTTTGTTTGTATTAAAAGCTATCAAAAACGAACGAATTTCGTTCATATTACGAGCTATTTTTTCTACATAGTCTGGTAAAAGAAAGTAAGTGAAAAAAAAATTAAGTGAAAATTCACTTAAATGGTGAATTTTTAGTTAAATTTGACAAATGGAAAATTTTAAAATAATCCTGCTATTGTACCAGACTTATTTCTGACAGACCAAGAATCAATTTTGACAAACCACTTTCTCGAAAATCGGAAGATCAATAACAGAAGGATTTTTGAACAATATAATATATTTCCGAAGTATCAAATTTAAGAGAAAATTCATCAAATGGAACACAGCCTTAGTATTCTGGAAGCAGTACGCTCCGGGAAATGGTATAAATTTCGGAAAATGTAATTCCGGGAAATGGTTTTCCGGGAAACGGTTTTCCAGGAAATCACGTCCATTCGTAAATACCAAATATGGTGAAGTAATTTCATGCTCGATGTCACAATAGTGCCCGAGATATGCGCTCTAGAAAATGTGCAGTGGTAGTTTGAATTCAACCATGAAGACAGTCATTGTTTTGGGCTCTGTATCGTATCACCAGGGTTGCCAGGTATCCGGATAGTGTTTCTTTATCCTGATAAAATTATAAATGCCTCATTTATCCTGATTTTTATTGGAAAAACCTGATTTATCTTGATTTTACATAATTGATGCCCACCACCCGCTCACCACTCAGCACCACCTAAACCCTAAACATCAGTCTGATTTCAGTCTGACTTCAAAATTGCACAAATATCAGCTTCCACGACACGTACTACAATGAAACTGTTACTCCACGTTTGCTGCACTCCAGCATACATGGAGTAGCAATTTCAGGTGAAATAGAACTCTAATTTCCGAGATTTGTGTAATTGACAATTCGAGGTGGAAGTGCATTTATAGCCTACGTGGCGGCCATTTGTGGACTCTACAAGGAATCACGTTAAGCACAACTAAAATTCTCCTAATAGATGAATCTTATATAACCTTTTCTTTCCCTATTTCATCAAACAGGCGTGAGAAGCAGCTCCCCGGCTACAAGCCCCGTAAATGTGGCAATCTACTCAAGCGCAACGGAGACAAAGCCGGTCGGAAGCGTGCGACGCTCACCTTCCAGTCAGCGGCGGCAACGATCCTATCGCCAGGTCAACAGACGCAGGCGACACCGCTCTCGCCAGAAGGTACGCCGGTCGTTCCCGGCGAATCTACGATGCCTAGTCCAACGTCCGCCCCAAACAGCCCCATGAAGGCTACCCTATATGCTCAATTAGATGGTACGAATCATAGCCCCAAGTCGGTGGTCATCATCCCTCCCGGGGTGGTGGCTTCCGGTTCCAATTCGGCCGGTAGGACGAAAAAATTCCGCCACAGACGGGTCGGTTCCGGCACGTTCAATTCTCCCAAATCGAGCCCTAGCCGGGATCGGCGCGTCCAAAGCGAACCGGAAACCCGCCACGTTAAGCTGGTGGACACCGAAACGCAAACCGATGCGATGGATATTAGTGAGACTGATGCAAGCCCTAGTCCTAACCTGGCTTCGAAACGGATGTCGACCAGCCTGCGTGAGGATGAAGAAGAGGAAGAAGAACGACAAAAACGGGATCCAATCCCTGACCTGAGCCCAGCCCAGCCGCAAACGCCACAAGGGTACCGGTGTGGCAAACCCCAGTCAGAAGACGATGGAGAAGTGCCTGAAGATGAGGAGAATGGAAACTCGATCTCCACTCCCATGACGAATAGCCGAAGTAGCGACATGCTGACGAGTAGTAACCACCAGCACCACCAGCTTCGTGACCTGGACGACGAGGACGAGGAAGAGGACGAACGTGCCTGCTCGAGTCCGGATCCGATCATGGATGCAATGAATAGCAACGAACGATTGGATCGTGACTGCAGTGATGATGATAAAATTGACACATTGGACCGTAAGGTGAGCTTTATTTCGGAGAAGCTGCAGCAGCAAAGCGTGAATGGAGTCGGTGGACACGTGCAGCAACTGACGGATTATAGCAACATCCTGAACGATAACAATGTGATTGTGTATCGGGCCAATAAGATGCTCAACGGGAGTTTCGGAAAGGGAGGTAAACGATCAGATGGCGCAATACTGATGAAGCATCCTACGGCTGGAAGCAACTTGAACCCTGGAGGCAGCGCTGTCGGCGCTTATGTGTACAGTGGAAATGGAGTGGGTGAAGATCATATGCCGAGGCAGAGCGAGGAACAGTGCAACGACAGCTGGACTGACGAGGAGGGCGAGGATCCGATTGAACTGTACAACTATGCGCTGCGACGAAAGAGGTAAGCCTCAGAACAGGACTTCTAAAAATACCTCGAGTAAATATTTAGTTGCCTGTGCTATCATCCGCATGTAGCGTGGGCGTCATAAACTCATGAGTTATATCGTCTATATAACTGATAAGAAGCTACTTGAGATGGCAAATTAACTGTGTTCAGAAATTTCGATTAGCGGGTCACTTGTTTGCTGTTTATGATAAAATCTGCCGAGAGGACATGACTCATAACAGTAGGAATGTTTTACCTACTCTATGATGAGCAGTAAATCAAGCGATATACCTAGATGTCACGTCAGGTGAGATGTGTGAGTGTGTACCCCTAATAAAATCGTTATGGTTATTTTGCTTAACGACGTGTTCGGGGTATCATCCAAACAATTTGAGGAATAGTTCTATTATTTGTGTTATCGTTCGTTTATGGTAATTTTTATTAGGGATGTTATCAACTGCCGGGAAGATAAAATATATTTAATTAGCTGAAGAGGTGTACCAGCATAAAGTGTAGATCTTTTGTTCAACGTGACAACTGTTATAAACTTTATGCTATAAGTTAGTTCCGTTTGGTGAATCTCAAATATATTTTTTGAAAAGATTTGAGCATTGGGGCCAGTGTTGGGAAAATATCAAAAGATCAAATCTCACCATAATCTCATTTCAGGCATAACATTTGATAACGGCACAAAAGCATTTGTAAACAAACTTTCTAAGGCCCTTTACACGCGAACCAAAATACACCTACGCAAACCAACAACATCATCGCATAGGGGCAACTATCACCTTTCCGAAAGTGGTATTGGTTTGCGTGGGTGTACTTTGGTTCGCGTGTAAAGGGTCTTAGAAAGTTTGTTTACAAATGCTTTTGTGCCGTTATCAAATGTTATGCCTGATTTGATTGTCGTTAAAAAATAACAAGCAAACAACAGCGGATGATATTATAAGTTATCATACGGTAGCTCTGATATCACACTACACTGAAAAAAGTTTTCATATAGTTTCCATTGGGAACGCACATGATATTTTTCCAATAACAAAATTAATTATTGTTACCTGAATGATCACATGAATTCTATTTATTTTTTGAGTGTACTAACAAAACATCACATGAAAGTTATGTGAAATTGTAATGGATATTTTCCATCGGAAATGTGATTTATTTTTTGAGTGTACTAACAAAACTCACCAGTTACACGGTAAGCAAAAAGTACCCAAAAGTAAGTTCTTTTCACTCATCTCGGCACTATAGTGCAGGAAGCCAAAAGCGAGGCCAAAAGTAGGTAAAGCGGGATCATTTACTTGTGTGCAATTCGTATGGAACTTTCCACTCGCTTTTACCCAAAACTAAGTTAGTTGTATAAAAAGTAGGTATATATCTAGAAAAATATTTCAAAAGGTCCTATCTGCATTGATCGATTCTCTTCATCGAATTTCTCTTTCGTCAATAACTCAGCTGCAAAACTTTCCCTGTTGTATTTGACGTTTTGGACGCTAGATGAGAATTTCTTTTATCAAACTCTAGATAGAGCTGGAATAAGGGCAAATGTCGCAATGGGCTTGGACTGAGAAAAATAAATCTGATGTTCTGAACAAGAACAAGAATAATTAAATATAAAATAAACTATAAACCCATTTCTAAATATGGACTAATCTAATTATTAAATAACTGGTTAGCATTATTGTGAGATAAATAAAGATATTATTATTTTTATTTACAGCTCGAAAAAAAATAAAATGTTGCATGCGCCTTTATGATTTATAGTATCTTGTATTCGCCCTGCAGCGTTCACAGAAGCCATTTCGCCCCTATGTTTCGCCTGCTAGTTTTTGACATTGTCTGTTTCGCCTCAATGTTTACGTTCTTTTTCCTGATGGTTTGTTACTATAGACCCTTTGCAGTTTGTTGGATTCCAGATAAATTCGTTGTGGTGTTTCCACTTTGTTTAACAATGTTTCTTTTTGATTACCAACCGGTAATTGCAAGGAGTAGTGAAAAGATTCAAATTATATCTTTCGTCTTGTATTGAGAAAATATGTCTCTTTCGCCCCATCTATGTATATGGGAGGAAGCGGGCGTAAGAGGCAACTTAATTTGCAATAAAAAAAAATTGGTTTCGCCCTTATTTATTTTTGCGTTTTTTAAGAATGTACATTATGTCACCAAATTTTTTAAAAATTGTTTTGTAGCATTTTAATACTAGTATAACGTGACGCATTAACCTCAGTTTGTTTACACTTGCGACATTCGCCCTTATTCCAGCTCTATCTAGAACTATGTGGTAGAATTTGCGCGAAAACCTTATGCATAGCAGTGGTTATGAAAAGAGAAAGTCGATGAAGAGAATCGATCAAAGCACATAGCACCATATAAAGGGTGATACGGTCAAAATTTGGTCAAGGGAAAACGCGTGTAAATCGGTGAAATCGTTTATTTAAAAAATCAAATTAAATTTCTTTTTCAAGTTCAATTAGTATAAAATTCAGGAAAAATATTCAGTTAGGCTTCCGCTTTTCCAAATCCGAATTGCCGGGCCTTGCGCTTGACCCCTGCCATCAGATTTTGTACAGCCACCTCGTCCACCTTCTTCGCCGCAGAAAGCCAGTTTGCCTTGAACTGCTGCTCGCCCTTAGCAGTTTTTTTGGTCTTCTTTAGGTTCCGCTTGACAATAGCCCAGTATTTCTCAATTGGGCGGAGCTCTGGCGTGTTGGGAGGGTTCTTGTCCTTGGGAACCACCTGCACGTTGTTGGCGGCGTACCACTCCATGGCCTTTTTACCGTAATGGCAAGATGCCAAATCCGGCCAAAACAATACGGAACAACCGTGTTTCTCCAGGAAAGGCAGCAGACGTTTATTCAAACACTCTTTCACGTAAATTTCTTGGTTGACAGTCCCGGAAGCTATGAAAATGCTGCTTTTCAAGCCACTTTCCAAACCAGATATTTCTTTGCGAACTTTGACAGTTTCATGTGCTTGAAAACATCTGCTACCTTTCCCCTTCCTTTTGCCGTATAAAACTCCTGTCCCGGAAGCTGCTTGTAGTCGGCTTTGACGTAGGTTTCGTCGTCCATTACCACGCAGTCAAACCATAGAGGTAACTCTAAGACCACTGGGTCCCGAAGAAAATCATTATTATTTTTGGTTCACTCAGTACCAGAACAACGGTCCCAAGCAGTCCCAAGCTATTTCACTCACCCCTGCATATTCTGCATGAATTCACACACCCCTGATGTTATCTGTCAAACTTTCATAGCGAATCAAAACAAACATAGTGTAGTAATAGAATTTCAACTGGAATAGGGTACGTTAATCGTTTGCTTGGGACCAATAGGCTACTAAAGTGGTGAGCCAATTTAAAATCGTTAGTTTCGTATTGATTGTTGGTCAAACCATAGAGGTAACTCTAAGACCACTGGGTCCCGAAGAAAATCATTATTATTTTTGGCTCACTCAGTACCAGAACAACGGTCCCAAGCAGTCCCAAGCTATTTCACTCACCCCTGCATGTTCTGCATGAATCCACACACCCCTGATGTTATCTGTCAAACTTTCATAGCTAATCAAAACAAACATAGTGTAGTAATAGAATTTCAACTAGAATAGGGTACGTTAATCGTTTGCTTGGGACCAATAGGCTACTAAAGTGGTGAGCCAATTTAAAATCGTTAGTTTCGTATTGATTGTTGGTCAAACTTCGTCAGCATCGTCGTGTACAGCCTCCGGGATCGCACTTTGGCCGTCATATTTTGTTTATCATCGCGATTTGGAGTCACTACCTTCTTGTAAGTCGATAGTCCGGCTCGTTTTTTGGCTCGATGCACGGTTGTAGACGATACACCCAGCTTATTTGCGGCATCTCGGAGAGAGAGGTTAGGGTTTCGCTTGAAACTACCGGCAACTCTCTTTGTCGTCTCAGCGGCTTCCGGTTTTCGATTTCCCCCCGATCCAGACTTCCTGGCTGTCGACAAACGTTCCCCAAACACTTTAATTACATTTGTAACGGTTGATTTGGCAACTTTTAGCGATTTTGCCAACTTTGCGTGCGAGTAGCTCGGATTTTCGCGATGCGCGAGCAAAATTTTGATACGCTGCTCTTCTTGCTTGGACGGCATTTTGACAACTGAAGAGTGAATTGAATTCCAAAATCAAAATAGGAGCAACATTCTACACACACACACCTTCAAAATGAGGGGTGTTCAGGTTTTTTAAATGCAAAATTGAAAGAAATACGTCAAGTTGATATTGACCAAATTTTGCCCGTATCACCCTTTAGTTCATCGAGATATGATTATGCTCAACGTTGAGTTGCCACAATTTACTACTTTACACACTTTGCCCAACAGAGGGTTTTGCTCCTCTGTTTTTGACAGTATTAGAATGAGAAAAGGAGACAAACTAGTCAAAAGTAGGTAAAAGTGAACTGTGAACTCGTCAGCAAGTCCTCATCAGTTGGCAACAAAAATGGAATGATGGTGATTTGGGAAGATGGTTACATTCTATTCTCCCACAGGTGTCGAACAAACCATGGTTCAAAGGATTGGACATGAGCCGCAACTTTATACGCGTTATGGCAAGGCTAATGTCCAATCACTCTTCTTTCGAGATTCCGACTATTTTAATTTAATTTGTGTTTTCAAAACGGATAGATCTAAGGATTTAGTAATTAAGTGTCATCTTGTGTTCTCCCAAGTTGTTAGCTGCCCATCGGTGTACCCCCCGGTGTTTGTCTTCTTCATCAGTATGTCGCTTAGTTCGAGATCAAGAGCACATTGCTTTTCTCAATCCCTACCCTGCCATCCATTTGTTACAAACAAACTCACGCTACGCAAATCTTTGAAATAACAACCAGAGATTTTTGTGCTGTTAAATTGATGTTACCGTTGTAAACCTTAATAGAAAATACGTTTACTGTTCAGTTTCTGTACCACATGATGACACATAACCTACGAATGACTTTAAAAAGGTTACACACTTCTAGCTCGGTAAAATCTCCAACAGTCGATTACCTCGACATTTACTTTTGCTGACATCTCTGCAAAATATCTGTTTGTTAGCTGATATCTCAGCAAAATGTTATTTGTTAGTTGAGTCTTGTCAATTGTTTTATTGAATCTCAGCTAAATAAATTGCAGAACGACTCGGCTGTTGGAATCTCGGCGAAAAAATTTAAATGTGTATTGCATACTATGGTACAAAAGGTCTCCCACTGATTGTAAGTAGCGATGCCAACGCCCACCACTGGTGGAATTCCTATCTAGCCAAGCTCAGGAAAGGTTTACAAAAAAAGCTCTCTGGTCTGCTGAACGATCCAACCGGAAAAGTTTTTACATTTTTTTTTTCAGTATGAGTAAGGCCAGTCGATTAAAATTCTTGCTAAATCAAAAAGTTTCCAAGTATAGTTGAAGGGAAGAATGCCTCCCCAAATTCCTATTTTATAAATAAAAATGAACATCAACTTTTCCGGACTTCTCTACTCCACGATTTTCTTCTGTCCCCTTTTAGCTACTGTCTGTTGTCCTCCGCCAGACGCTTCGTCTTCATCCCACAGCTCGCAACGAGCGCCATACACGGATCCGATGACTCTCTTCTGTTTTCTTCTTACCGCGTTTGCCAATCAGCACTAACTGTAGTTCAACCACCTCTTCTCATTTAAACCAAAAAATCACTTCGCGGCTTGCAAAACCGACCCGAAGGATTAAGGAATTTGTCATCGTAACGATGTCTTTCACAGATCACACTTTTCACACCGGCCAAAAGGAAAACATTCGTTTGAACTTTATGCAAAATATTGACAGCACAAGAAATCCGAACCGTCCATTAGCAGAGCCTACTTGGATCACTCTCGTCTCTGATAGTTGGTTTGAACAAGAGAGGGTCTAGTATAAGAGAGGAGTGGACTGGCTGGTATTGAGCCAAACGAACTGACAAAGCCCGAGCCAATCGAGCAGCGCCTATCTTGGCAGTGTTGCTAGAAATCACCTAGGCATAAATTGCCAAGGCAGTTTGTTTTGAATCCGCTCCTCTCTTATACTAGACCCTCTCTAGTTTGTACATAAGCACTTTATTTGATGTATCGCAGAACGCTCTTAGCGCAGTGTTACCAACCGGTGGTATCCGGTGGATTTTAAATTGGCTCACTACTTGACTAGCCTATTGGTTCCAAGCAAATCGCTTAACGTACCCCATTGTAGTCAAAATTCTAGTACTACACAATGTTTGTTTTGATTTGCTATGAAAGTTTGACAGATAAAATGAGGGGTTCGTAGATTTTCCTATGTTTTGAGGGGTGCATCGATTAGCTTGGGACCGAAGATAGTACCAGAGCTGAGCCAAAAAGTTGAGCACGTATCTTCGGGACCTTCTGGTCTTAGAGTTACCTCTATGGTGTTACCAACAATCAATACGAAACTAACGATTTTAAATTGGCTCACCACTTTAGTAGCCTATTGGTCCCAAGCAAACGATTAACGTACCCTATTCTAGTTGAAATTCTATTACTACACTATGTTTGTTTTGATTCGCTATGAAAGTTTGACAGATAACATCAGGGGTGTGTGGATTCATGCAGAACATGCAGGGGTGAGTGAAATAGCTTGGGACTGCTTGGGACCGTTGTTCTGGTACTGAGTGAGCCAAAAATAATAATGATTTTCTTCGGGACCTACTAGTCTTAGAGTTACCTCTATGGTGTTACCATGTTGATCTTTCGGTTGATTCGAACAAATCTGGACTCCTTTTTGATTGAATCGTCAGTAACAAATGTAAACAAATTGAAATTTTAATGCTACCAGACACTACTCTGCTTACTCTTACTATAGGCAAAATTTGGGCCCGCTACCTCATTTCTGTTTCATTTTGTCGTCAAAAAACTATTCGTCGTATGTGCCAACTGACCAAAACATAGCTCAATTTTACATACGACACCTAACTTCTATGGGGGTGTCAATCGTCGTATGTAACAAATTTGACAGAAGCGTAAAAACTGTACATAAGACCTGTTGTTTTTTTCCCAATAAAAGTGCAAATTTTGCAAATATTCAATGTTAAACGGTTGTGGGTGGTCTATAAAATGATAACTAAGTTTTTGGTGAGGAATTACTCATAATAATACATTTTTAAGCCGCTAAAAAGCGCACGGTCGAATGTAAAACCAAGGCATGCAAAAGGTCGTATAATATTGATTGGTTTGATTTTCAACAGAAACGCTATCAATACCTTACTCAGTTGATAGCAACACTCCTGAGATGTTAGTTAATGGGAAGTTTTGAAAGAATTATCCTTCACATTGAAAATAGAAACATTTTTTTGTTTACCAAAACAAAACACCCCGTCTCTCTAATTGACATAAATGTTACATACGACCCATTCAAAAAGGACTCCAGAAATCAACTATTGTATTATTTTCGGAGTCTTTTGGTCTGAGACAGATGTGCGTAGTCAAGTTAAATTGAATTCAGAGTAAAAAATGCATGCAGGGCCTTTGGCCGTTGCCGAAGAACCATTGGGAAAATCTGGGGACTAAAACTTAAGTACATAAAGGGTGGAACGGCCAAAAATTGTTCGACTCAAATTTAGCGTGTTTGGAACTTGAAAAAGTACTGATTCACTTCAGAAAAGTTCAAAATCACTTCGGAAATTACTGAATCCCTTCAAAAAAACCGGAATCCCTTCTAAAAGAACAGAATCATAGGAATGTTCTAAATCACTTCGGTAAGAATTACTTTACAAATTCGGAATCACTTCAGAAAAGTCTAAAATCACTTCGGAAAGTACTGAATCATTTCATAAACGATCGAAATCATTTCGAAAAGTACTGAAGCACTCCAGCAATGTTCTTAACCACTTCGGAAAGTACTGAATCACTACATAAAAAAATCGAAATCACTTCGGAAATAACTGAATCACTTCAGTAATCAGAAAGGTTCTAAATCTCTGAGGAAAGTATTTGGAGTCACTTTGGAAAGTACTGAATCACATTGAAAATGTTTGAATCACTTCGGAAAGTACTGAATCACATCAGAAATGTTCCGATTAAAACGAAATCACTTCACAGAAATTTTAAAATTTTAAGTTAAATTCGAAATCATTTCGGAAAGTACTGAATCGCTTCATAAAAGTTTGGGATCACATCATAATGATCAATTCATTAAGGTTCATAATCACTGCTAAAAGAACTGAATCATCCCAGAAATATTCGAAATCAATTCCAAAAGTATGTATTCACTTCAGATTTTTTTTTATAATCACTTCAGAAAGTATTGAATCACTTCATAAATGATCTGAATCACTTCGGAAAGAAAGAAAAAAACATTTTTCCATAAACTTGTCTGCCATTTCAAGTTTATTTTTTATTTTTCCCTCATCACGTTTACCAGGGGCGCAAGCCAGGAGTTCAAGAGTTTTAACAATTTTAACCTGAACTGGTCTACTATGGGCGCTAGCCACCGCAAATTTTATGATTTTGATCAAATTTTCCCTGACCATGTTTACCAGGGACGCAATTCATTTCAAATTTAACATTTTTTTTTTTTTCAAATATTCCCTGAACTTGTCTGCCGTCTGCGTTGGTCATTTCAAATTTAACGATTTTCTATTTTCAACTGAACATGTATATCAGAGATGCTACTTATTTTAAATTTAACATTTTTTTTCCAATTTTTCACCGAACTTGTGATTTAGCGGCGCAAGTGTTCGAAGGTAACCTAGCTGTTTATTTTTTATATTTAACATTTCCAGTATGATATTGCTCTCACTTAAACGTGTATATATATTATTTTCCTGGATTAGAATGCTGTATTTTACCTATTTTTCGGGTTTTGAGTAAAAGTCGTTGACGCAGCACTGCTAAGTTCTATTAATTCAACTTTCAACAATTATTGTAAATTAAACAAAATTTGGTGACATTTTCTAAATGATCTTTTTTTAATAAACACAAACACACATTCAAATATTTCATTCCCGTTTCCCATTCCAGCATTGCCCGTCTCCCGATCAAGCGGGGCCGCCGTAAGCTGTCTCCAAACTCGGCTCTCGCCGTAAATTCCGCATCTGCTCAATGCTATCACCATCCAACCTCTCCGTCGTCCAGTGCTTCGCCGGTTGCCGGTGCCCTTGGGACATCGTCCACTTCGCCCTGTTCACCGGTGGCCGGCGGTGCGGCAGCCGCAGCTCCATCCATCATCCACATCAAACACGCATCGAACGTGACCATCTCGGACGAGGACAACACCTCCGAGTACAGTCACGCTCCGTCCAGCCAACGGTCCACCCTGGAAAGCAATCCGGAGCTGCCGTCGGTCATCAAAAGACATCAGGACCGTCATCAGCGGATCAAACAGGCCATGCAAAAGAGTACGACCTCGGCCAAGGACACCGACGACGACGATGATGACGAAGACGAAATCGAAATCGACTCGACGAACGACTCCAGTGAATCCAGCTCGGATGAGGACAACGCAACGGTTGGGCAGGGAAAATGCCGCCGCGCCAACAAGGACGAGGAGAATGGCAATAGTTATTAGACTGTTTAAGGGAACGCTGGTGGGAAATCAATGGCTGAAAGGGAAGAGAGTGTGATTTACGAGAGATCTTATTCTTTGTGGAAAACTGTGTTGAGATTAGTTGTTTATTTTCATTTTCTGTACTCTGTGGAGCAATACTATGTTAAGGATCGTTTTTTTTTGTTCGTTTTGTAAGTTAGTGTGTCCATTCCGGGTTTCGGTCCAAAGGAGCGAATCCCTCTTTCTCTGTTCATTCCGTTTCAGCATTGTGAGAAAAGACTTTAATATATAATAAGCGATATTACACGAAATAATATTAACTTTATTATATATTAATCGAGATATGCAGAATGCGAGTAGTAGATTACCTACGGATAAGAGTCGAAAACAAAACCAGCAGGAATTATGTTTAGTGCGTAATGTATTGAAATTTCTAGCCAACGCAATAGAGGGCTGAATTAGCGTATTTAAGCGGTAAGCTACCTTATTGTAAAAAATACCTCCATGAGAAGTTCTATTTCCCAAAATGTGTAAATTATTAGTTTTTTGTTTTACAACTCTGAGTTCATGAAAGTGATACAAATCGTGATTTTTTTTTGTGTACGAGTCTAGAGATACGCATAAGTGGAAATCGATGTGAGATGTAGAAATAAATAATTGCTAAGGCAAACCCCACTATTACTATTCAACACAATTTCGTCCAATATTGTAATTTAAACAAGACATTATTTCTCGGTGCCCCTCCTTGATTGATTGATTGATTGATTGATTGATGGAAAGAAGTATTTTTATTCTGAAACAATTTTGATAGTTTGCAAAGAAAAATAATCACTCAAGATGTCATCGCCTTAACAGTTGAACACTCAATCGCACGAATCATCGTTGGAAATCGGAATTGGTACCTGCTTAGATGTTGATATGAAACAACACCCAATTACACAGTAACAATCTATTGGACTTGCTCTGATTATTCCTTTCTTTGATTAATACCGACAAGCTTCTACACAATTTAAAACTAACAAACTGCATGCTAGCTTTTATAGAAAGGATTGACGACGAAGAAAATTAAAAAGTAAAAGACTATTTTTGGAACAGTATTTTTTCGGTTGCAACTTTTGATTGCAAGCATACAGTGTAGCTTCTTAGAAGAATTATAAACCAGGAGAAACACCAAACCAGTACTTATTAATAGAAAGGACATTCCGTATAACTACAAATCAGCGACTAATGTTTCGATGTTACACAAAATATAACCTATTTGGCGTTGAATTTTGAAAACTGTATAAGCAAAACAAACATGTAGCCAAATTCATTCCGCAGAAAAAAAATCATTGGCCAAGCAAAACGTTGAAAATGCATCAAAATTAAGCGTTGTTGAAACTATATAATTAACAAATGAAAGAAACACAATGTACGAAATTTGAACTTTGAATAAACAGCATTCCTGTATCTACTGCTAGACCTAATCTTAAAGCAAAACAAAATGCTGACTATACATAGAGAACCTTACCGTAAAAGTAGCTACATCTTAAAACAAACAAATAATAATCTAAGCTAAGCAGGAAAAATAAAAGACACAAAACAAAATCCACTGTTGGTAACTCTATAATACGTGTAACTGTACTGTAAAAAAAAACCTGATGCCCTACTTCGGAAAAGAAGATGATAAAAAAATGGAAATGACAACCGGAAAATAAACGAGGAGAAATCAAATTGATCACAGTAGCACCAGTTATCCGAATTATCCATGGGAACCAATTTAAAGCACCAGGCGTGTAACCTAATGCCATCCCCAACTGCAAAAAGCCAACTTGTGCGAGGTCTATTCTCTGGAGTTTAATATTATCTTTGCTTGTCGCTCTTTCGGTATCCGTGCTACATGCTCAGCCCATCGTAGATGCTATTTTCTATAATTTACCGTGAAGTAGAAGCAAGGAACTCACCCCTATTCTGTATTTCGTTTCGAACGAAATTCTCATACAAAAAAATATTTTTTTGTATGAGAATTTCGTTCGAAACGAAATACAGAATAGGGGTGACTATCTTTTATCTTGTCCGCTTGGAATTCTTATCCTGCCCATAATCGGCTTAATGGAGCCTCGCTCGCGAGCTTCAAATGAGCCGAGCGTAGCATTTTTCTGAGGAGTATCACGGTAAGAAAAAAGTACCCAAAATTAAGTTTAAAAAACTCACCGTTGGATTCTATCATTTGAGGTCTACCGTTGAGTGAATCAGAAAAGCGGCGATGGGTCAAATTTTCTCATCTATTGAGTAACAATATATGAACTCAAATTAAGGTTAATTTTCTGTTAATCATCGTTTAGCTTAAAAACGTAGTATTTGTCATTATTGATTGAATTAGTACTTTCCGTAGTTGTTTAAAATGTACATGTTAGTAAATTGTATTGCGTAAAGTAATTTACGAAGAATATCCTGAAATATTTATCGATACATTCCATTTAATTAAAACACGCTGCGATTCAAAGTAAAAAAGAACTCAATTTTCAGTTAATAGTACTCAACCGATATGTTTTCACGGTTGGGTACTTTTTACTTAATTTTGGATGAAAATCATAGAAACCTGCACTGCCATCGACGCTGTCATTTGTTTGTGCTTCATCGCTTCCGTTCCTGCTCAATTAGTCCTCGCATTAGTCTTCGTTAGTGTTTGGTACATAGCCCGCATAAACATAAGAATCGCCTAACCACTAATTCTGGATATTATCCCAACTCTATACGGTATGGTCGTACCATCTATGATATCGTTTGTGAATGGTATCCGTAGGGGGTAGTGACAAAATAAGTTGCAACGAAAACCGGTTGCATGCTGGTACGTTGGGTATTTTTTACCTATTCCATTCGATTGATCGTTAGGTAATTTTTACTCAATGGTTTCTTCATCAGGATTACTTAAAATTGAGTTTCCTTGTTTAACTTAATTTTACATAGCCCCACGGAAGCCACGTGTTGAGTGAAAGTAACTTAATTTTGAGTACTTTTTTCTTACCGTGACACGGTAAGAAAAAAGTACCCAACAGCCAGTTAACTTTTACCTACTTTTGACTAGTTTGTCTCCTTTTCTCATACTAATGTTGTCAAAAACGGAGGAGCAAAACCACCCAACAGGGGTAGTAAAGTGTGAGAACCCAACGTTGAGTATAATCATATTTACCTACTGTTGGGTACACACTTAGTTTTTTCTACCGAAATCGGCTGTGCAAATCTCGGCAAAAAAAATTTCACTGAGGTCTCAGCAAAAGTGACATTTGATTGCTGAACAGTTAAGACATGCCTGTTTTCTGACAAACGTCAGTTTTCTCGTTTGTTTTTTAAACCAGCTCAGGTTGAGGTTCGCACTGACAAAAAGTTCGGTTTCGCACGAATTCGCTATAAGCACAAACGAAGAGACAGACGACTAACTGGCGAAGAAATCCATTAAAATAATGTGGTTCACTGTAATAGAATTTCCTTATAAGCTTGTGCCACCATCCACCAGATGGGTTAGTTTTTTTTGTTTTAATTGAACAAAGTTGATTTTGTGTACAATGATTCTTTGACAGTGTTCAAAGAGTGTATCATTTTGTCATTTTTTATGCATTTCAGTTTTGAGACACGATGATGGTGTTGGTTTGTGTGAGCGGCCTTCGATTTGTGAGGAATGGGCTTTGGAACGGTTTTTTTACAAATGCTGATGGGCCCTTTTCTATTGTTGATCCAGAAATGGTTCAATTCCAATGAGGTACAGAGAGAGGTGAAGCAGATCGTGAAATATGGTTGATTAGTAATCCAAAAAATCAACGTAAACGCAATTAGTGACGTCACTAATTGCATGTATCGTACAGGGGTTTTACGCACACAACTTTATCGACTGCTTCACCTCGGTAATCCAGCTCATTGGTTCAATTCCACCAAAAAGGGGAACCGCGAAATGACGCGCAGTCTGCAATAAGCAATTTTTTGTAAAAATTCAGGTACTTTCGGAAAAAAAATCAACACTTCATCATTCCAAGTTGCACATATATAATATAGATTGCGTTTTAGAATGTACCACAGTAACGTTTTACCTCGGGTTTTTCATATAATTGATTTATACTGCCGGCTCATCTCTTCTTGGTTATTGTAATATAGTTGTATTACACGGCTTCTATGGTTTTGCTACTCGTGTTTTCTCTGCTTTTCTTCGTATTTCAAGTTTTTTTTTGCTTTGTATATCATAATATATTCATTCATAATTGGTTCTCACAATAAACTTTCTTGCTAATTATATTCTGCTAAATACTCTTCTGTTTGTGATTAAGTTTTCGCTAAAATAGGAATGGGACGCAAGGAGATGGGCCACAGGGATTATAATGTGGATGTACGGCATAAACTCTTTTACCTCAAATGCTAAAAACAATACGAAAGAAAAGAATATCATCGGCATTTTCCAGTTATCGTTTCCTTAGTAAATCGGACACTCAGGTCATTTCGTTTTGAAGATTCCGTCTGGCTGAAACAGGCCATTTTATTTGCCTAGTTGTTCAGCATATTCCACAGATCATCTTCCGGGTTGTTATTCTTTTTGCTTGTAGTCGCTGCCGGAGCTGCGACTTTGCTCTTGATGTCCAGCGAAGCGAAGTCATTCTCTAGGCTGGCATTTTGCTTCATTTTCAAGCTGCTTCGACTGGAGCTGGATCTCATCTGCTGCTGGCTCGTGGAAGTGGATGTGTTCTGATTTCGAATGTCATTCGTTGCAGTGGCAGCGCTAAGGGAAGCATTCTGATATCCGCCATCACTCTTGGACGTTGTGGTCGTGTGAGACTCAAATCCGGACCAACCATCGTCATCCTCGTTGTCTGCATTTTGACTAAGGGGATGGGACGGTTACACATTTATGATGTTTAAGAAAATTATCAATAAAAGAAGAATTTCTTACTATGATTTTATGGCGTTCGAATTGCTATCGTTGTTCCAAGAGTTCCAATCATTGCTACCACCGCCGTCACCACCTCCGTATCCGCTGAGTTTTCCATTCGATGACGATCGCTGATAGCCGCCAGATCCGTTGTCCGATGGGAAATTGTTGTAGTGATCGTTTCCGTCTGGAGCGCTATAACTGCCAGTACTGCCGATGTTGCCCCAACCTTTGCGACCTACCTCGCCAACCTATAAATACAACACAGTTTTGATGACTATGAACTACTGTGAAGTCGCGACAATCTTAACTTAGAAACTGACTAAAAATTCCAAACGATGCAACATAAAATTACTAACCTTGCTGGCCAAACTTGATACTTGCGAACCAACTCCTTCTAGGAGTGTTCCTTCTTTAACCTACATTCATAGTTGAAATAATAATCGAAAATCAAAAGCCGAAATCATACAACACCAACAAAAAATGTTTTCTACCTTATCAGTAACAGTGCCAGAAACCTCAACTACCTTTTGCGAGGCCAAACTGCCATACTTCAACGCGTTCTCCTTGGCAACGTTGGCCACCTTAGAAAAGACGGTCCAACCCTGAAAATAAAAACCATAAAATTTCCTTCTAACAGCACACAAAAATCACATCTTACGCTAGCCAGTGACGACTGGACTGTGTCGAACAGTTCGTGGGATTGACTCCTGGGTGGCGGATTTCTCGAATAGCCAAACCCGGCATACTTTCCACCCTGATTCGGTGGCAAATTCTCCGGCCGTGATGCGTTTTCCTCCTGTTTACGGTTAAAGAATTCATCCTTCTGCGATTTAAATTCCGCTGTTTGGAACTGTTGGTAGCCCGTGTCCTGATAGCCACCACCATTCTGATACCCTCCGGTGGACGAGGAGGAGGAATATCCGCTAGACTGCATCGAGCCACTGCTTCTCGAATGCGTCATCAACCCACCGCTATTTGCACTACTATTGGAATGTGCTGAAGATGAGGAAAATCCGCTGTCCTTACCTACTCTGGGCAAAGCTGAAGCCTGGTCCCAAGACTTCCCTTGTGCCAGGGTGGCAATTTTGTCACGATATAGCGCCGCAGCACGGGTACTATACTTTTTCTGTATCGGCATAGTTTCATCCCAGTCGTCTTGGGAATCGAAGAAGATTCGTGCATTTCGGTTTCCACCTGCCTTCATCTTCTCCAGCTCGACATCTTTCCACTTGTCCATCGAAACCGATCGAACGAAAGACAGATGCACTCCCAATCCACGGTGCTTTCCGGAGCATTCCAAACAGATCCATATTCCGTACGTCACCGATACCCACTGCGGGTTATGAGTGCCACATTCGAAGCATTTCTGCAATAATCACCACACCATGCATACATAGAACATATGGAAAATCCCCATCCAATAATTAAAACTTACATTGTTTTCGTTGTTGGGCTTCAAATCGCTCAACACCCGTCTGGTCCTTGGACTGGCCATCGTTGTTTCGTTGATACTCTGCTAAACCTTCGATAAATGGCCTTCGCACAGAATTATTCACTCCAGGAAACAGATGAAACTTTCGCTTATTATTCTTTTACGTGTGCCCACTCAGTTTCCACTCTGCAGCAACGAAACCTTCCAAGATTAGCTGGTGATCTCGTTTTCGTTCGATTTCACCTTATCCGGATAGAAGTATAGATCATTTTCAGGCGACACCTCTGGGCACGATGCTTCCGTCTACGTTGGTCCTCGTTTTGGTAAATTTGGCCAGCACGGAATACACGGACTTTTCTCCGGAAAATCCAGCAGCAAATTCCAACAGATTCAAGTGCAACTTTTTTTCTAATAAGAAGATAAAAAGAATGAATGACGCAAACTGTCAACATACGTGTCAGGCGGATCCCTGTGGCTGAATATGCGTTCAGGAACGGGTACACTGTGTGCCCATCAGACGAAGAGGCGGGACAATTTAGATAAGGACCTATTAAAATATTACGTAACACAAAAATGCCATTTTACAAACCCCCCACCACATTAACAAGTCGATACAATCGTCAGATCCACCCTTACCCCAACCCGTAACGCGTTACAATGTAATTTTCACAAAGAAAAATAAGACAATTTGGATTTACCATCAACTGATCTTATTTAAATGAACTTAAGCGCTGGCCAGATTGATCAGTTATAACAACTATAGATACTATAGATTCCATAGATAAGCGGAGGAAAAGTATAATGTAGCCAAACGAACTGTCAGTTAGTGTAGCCAAACGAGCATGACGTCATCATGCATAGAAAAAAAAGTTGTTGAATATTACATCTAAACTGCTGCAACCAGGTCAATCCATCGGTTGTGTAATATCCAGCATTTTACGAGCGCTTATGGCCGCCACAATCTGGCTGAGTTTTTGGTAGGGAACCTGATTTGACGTTTGGGTTGTGTCGTTTGACGTGTAAACGTTCAAATTTGATGTAATATTGTATCTGCTTTTTGCTATTATATCATAATTTCATACATCAGCTTGAATTACATTGATCGATATTACATTTTTTTTGCTGTGTGGTGTTGTTTGAGGGAGAAGTATTGTAATATTATGAGCACAAAATGCTTTCCACACTCCACATTCTTATTTATTTCGCGGACGACGGAAGAAGGAAAGATAAAGCAAACCATTCCTCGATACATTGTTGCAAAGGATTGCTTTACACTTCATTTTGAACTTTTACGCACGAAACAAAAAAAAACTATGATGGCATGAATTTTTTTCACGGATGCCAGTGAGATCATTTATTTTTCATGGTTGCTAAAACAACTTTTTGTGTCTCCGCTTATCTATGGAATCTATACACTGAAACAAAGATAATAGTTAGGAATACTATTTTGCAGAAAACACTTATTTTCAGTATAACCAACAATCAATACGAAACTAACGATTTTAAATTGGCTCACCACTTTAGTAGCCTATTGGTCCCAAGCAAACGATTAACGTACCCTATTCTAGTTGAAAATCTATTACTACACTATGTTTGTTTTGATTCGCTATGAAAGTTTGACAGATAACATCAGGGGTGTGTGGATTCATGCAGAACATGCAGGGGTGAGTGAAATAGCTTGGGACTGCTTGGGACCGTTGTTCTGGTACTGAGTGAGCCAAAAATAATAATGATTTTCTTTGGGACCCAGTGGTCTTAGAGTTACCTCTATGGTATAACTACGCTTAATACCGTTAAATCTACCATGATTTCAGTATAATTGACTATAAATATAATCAAATTTACTACCATTCTGTCAAAACTACTATGCTTACTCCAACGGCATAGTAGTTTTGATAGAAAAAAAATATTAAAATTAAATGAATTTCGTTTCTGCAAAAATCTATTGGTGGGAGTATTTAATTTAAACCATCAATATAGTATTTTTGCCAATGGATTTTGTTTCTGTGTAATATCTATATTAACAATTCTTGAGAACTAACACTTTAAAAATTTCGGCGAACTATATTCGGCGAACGATTTAAAATTGGCTCACTACTTGATAAGCCTATTGGTCCCAAGCAAATCGATTAACGTACCCCATTCTAGTTTGAATTCTAGTACTACACTATATTTGTTTTGATTCGCTATGAATGTTTGACAGATAAAATTAGAGGTTCATGGATTTTCCTATGTTTCGAGGGGTGCATCGATTAGCTTGGGACCGAAGAGCGTACCAGAGCTGAGCAAAAATTTGAGAACGTTTCTTCGGGACCTTTTGGTCTTAGATTTACCTCTATGGTAATAGACCCTAAAAATTATATAAGCGAACAGTTAGATAATTCTGGTTCATTCAAGATTATCGGATCAATCTACGATAAAAACATTTTCATCTCTTGCATCTAAATCTATCACTCACCAACTTTTTTTTTAGGAAATCTTCAAAATCTCTATCAATCTTCTTTCTATCTACTAAGCGTGCGCTCATCTCACAACAGCAAAGATAAAAACTTTAATGGATGGCCCTATAGGGCTGTACGCAATGGTGTCGTAGAACTACGTGGTCTTATATAATAAATCTTCTTTGTTAACTGCAGCAGGAGCTTGTGTTTTGTGTAGGAATAGGCATTTGAGCGGGGTTCTCTCTCTTTATACTCTTTAGTATGACGCGCTTGGCATAGTTGGTCCACAGCAACTCACGAAGAGCTACTGATTCCGATCAATAGCGGTGCGGCTTCTTCTTCTTTCTTTGGATGGTCATGTGAGCTACAGCTCGTTGCTTCCAGATAGTCCTTCGTTGTATACTGGAGAACACCACCACTCACCACGGTGTGATTGAATAAACACCGTTTGGTGAGACCGGATGGAATTAAACTTTGAAATCTGTGCTAGGGAAATCGCTTTTCACAGGCAATCGGTGCTCAAAGCAACAGTTGCACATTCGTGAAATTTTCAATAGTGACATTTTGAAAAATCATAACGGCTTAAATTCTTGCTTAAATTTGACAGATGCATAGAAATATATCTGATCGATTGGTGATAAAATTATTGCAATTGGTCCAGGAGCAGTTGAGCTATTAGCACAAACGAAGTGACAGACGACTAACTGGCGAAGAAATCCATTTAAATAATGTGGTTCACTGTAATAGAATTTTCTTGGAAGCTTGTGCCATCATCCACCAGATGGGTTAGTTTTTTTGTTTTGATTTGAACAAAGTTGATTTTGTGTACAATGATTCTTTGACAGTGAGCAAAGAGTGCGTATCATTTTGTCATTTTTTTATGCATTTCAGTTTTGAGTAGAGTGATGAGATAGAACCAAAACATTCTAGTACAGTTGGTGAAAATGCTAGTTCGATCTAGTAGTAGCAACAATCAATACGAAACTAACGATTTTAAATTGGCTCACCACTTTAGTAGCCTATTGGTCCCAAGCAAACGATTAACGTACCCTATTCTAGTTGAAATTCTATTACTACACTATGTTTGTTTTGATTCGCTATGAAAGTTTGACAGATAACATCAGGGGTGTGTGGATTCATGCAGAACATGCAGGGGTGAGTGAAATAGCTTGGGACTGCTTGGGACCGTTGTTCTGGTACTGAGTGAGCCAAAAATAATAATGATTTTCTTCGGGACCCAGTGGTCTTAGAGTTACCTCTATGGTAGTAGCAACAATCAATACGAAACTAACGATTTTAAATTGGCTCACCACTTTAGTAGCCTATTGGTCCCAAGCAAACGATTAACGTACCCTATTCTAGTTGAAATTCTATTACTACACTATGTTTGTTTTGATTCGCTATGAAAGTTTGACAGATAACATCAGGGGTGTGTGGATTCATGCAGAACATGCAGGGGTGAGTGAAATAGCTTGGGACTGCTTGGGACCGTTGTTCTGGTACTGAGTGAGCCAACAATAATAATGATTTTCTTCGGGACCCAGTGGTCTTAGAGTTACCTCTATGGTAGTAGCAACAATCAATACGAAACTAACGATTTTAAATTGGCTCACCACTTTAGTAGCCTATTGGTCCCAAGCAAACGATTAACGTACCCTATTCTAGTTGAAATTCTATTACTACACTATGTTTGTTTTGATTCGCTATGAAAGTTTGACAGATAACATCAGGGGTGTGTGGATTCATGCAGAACATGCAGGGGTGAGTGAAATAGCTTGGGACTGCTTGGGACCGTTGTTCTGGTACTGAGTGAGCCAAAAATAATAATGATTTTCTTCGGGACCCAGTAGTCTTAGAGTTACCTCTATGGTAGTAGTGTTGCCACGTGGTATAATCCAGTAGTAGTGGTGTTACCATGTGGTACACTGAAAAATTGCAATAGCAGGTTAGTCACCAAAGTTTTCGAGCCGCTCCGTCTGTCACTTCGTTTGTGCTATTAGCGTTCAAAATCTTTCATAATTTTGTTACATGTTCCATTTTCGGTTTTCATAAAGTGTACCCCCATATAGAAATAACAGACGTAGTCCAACGTCAAAATTTTTTTGCATCTTAGATAGAGCCCCCTCGATGAAATCGGATGATATCGGCAAGCGCGTGTTTTTATTCTTTACCAATCGAATTTACTCCTGACCGAGGGGCACTATGATCGTGATCTTTCTAATGTAATCTCTTTTATTAAAAATTGTCTCAATGCACCAAAATGAATGCCATTTTGGATTTCGTTTCCATTTTTAATGCAGCTTACGAATATAAATTTATCCCCCATAAAGATCCCAACGAGAGGCACGCACTACCCGACCAACCATTCGTGAAACTCCTTCAAAGTTCTTTATACAGAAATAAAGATTTATGTCGGCAATTCTTTATTGTAAATTTTCTATGATTTCGATGTACACATTTAAAAATCTTTATTGATCGATACTTACATATAAGATTATTTCTTCATCGGTCATATGATAGTAATCTATAAAGGTGCCATACTAAATTTCTTTAAATTTCGATATGTCACACGGACTTAACTATTCTTTACAAATATTCATCAATAAATATTTAAATACTGATATCATCGTAACTTTGAACTTTGACAAAGAACAACAAAGATTGCCATCGATGCACATTTATAATCTCCTTGTTATCGATTTGCATCGCTGGTTAAAGAGAGTTCGAGACACACCAGGTGACAGATGGCAATGTTTATACTATTTATCGACATATTCGGCATTTCATCGGAAGAAGCAATCTGCCGGTAAATGAACGAGAAGACCGATGGCCGCGACGCAGCAAATGTTTACCATTGTAGTTCTTCAAGTTTACGTCTATATATTTAATAACGCATGATAGCATGCGTGGTGGGATTCTCGGCATTTGGAACCCAATGAGGAAAATTGATACCTTTTTGACCTCTATTACACCTACATGGCTGACTGGTTGATGGTTATGACAAATAAATATTGAATTCATGTATGAAAAGATTTACAGAAATTTCTATAAACCACATACTAGAGTGTGTTTACCTGTCGTTGATAAGATCAACAACAGCAGCCGTGGACCCGAGGATTAGCAACCAACAACGAAATCATTACACCCCAGATGGCATGGGATCGAAACTAGAAATTATGCAGATAAAAAATCGCAAATAAAATCTGCAGTTGTGTATCGATATTTTGATTTTAAAACAGAAATCGATATTTTGATCTGGCAACACAATCGATATTTTGACATTGGTAACGATTGGTAGCAATATTTTGAGAAAGATCTTTATAAATGATTCACGATTAGACTTTTAGCATAGAGGTAACTCTAAGACTAGTAGGTCCCGAAGAAAATCATTATTATTTTTGGCTCACTCAGTACCAGAACAACGGTCCCAAGCAGTCCCAAGCTATTTCACTCACCCCTGCATGTTCTGCATGAATCCACACACCCCTGATGTTATCTGTCAAACTTTCATAGCGAATCAAAACAAACATAGTGTAGTAATAGAATTTCAACTAGAATAGGGTACGTTAATCGTTTGCTTGGGACCAATAGGCTACTAAAGTGGTGAGCCAATTTAAAATCGTTAGTTTCGTATTGATTGTTGCTTTTAGCATCTTTACAATTATTCATGAAATGGTGACGATCGCTATCGATTTTTCTTATGAATGGCTTTGAAGATCGATGTATAGAAAATTAAATAAAATTAACGAAATGGTTGGTCGGGTAGTCTTTCAATACTACACAGCCTGCTGACCAAATATTTAAAATCTTGCCATTACTGCAGTAAATAGTTTAAATACATTCTTAATTTCAACAAATACTTTAATTACTCTCAAAATTTTATATTTAAATTATTTTCATTATAGGGGAAATGGCTCTAATGTTGGCCTATGGATCTAAGATTGGGCCCGCCACTAAAAATCTGCTATTTATCATTTTTTTTTCTAGATGAACGCATTATTGGGACGGCACTAATGGACATTTTTGGTCGCTATTGAAAATTTAGTCAATTGGGTTGTTTAACTTCGAAAAATATACCAATTTTTATACATCATCTGATACACAGCAAAAAAAATGTAATATCGATCAACGTAATTCAAGCTGATGTATGAAATAATGATGTAATAGCAAAACGCAGATACAATATTACATCAATGGATGTAATTTTGTTCGCAAAATCGATGTACATCGTACAATGTGATATTACACAACCGATGGATTGACCTGGTTGCAGCAGTTTCGATGTAATATTCAACAACTTTTTTTGCTGTGTAGAGCTTTTTTTTCTGAGCACAACGATATTTATCAATCCCGTAGACATTCATGTCGATTTTTAAATCAAGATTTAAATTTTTGATCATTGACACTAAATCTGTTCGTTGACAGCTCACTCCCATACAAAGTCCCACAGAGGGGCGCTAAGATGGTGATTTTTGCTTATGTAATCGTACTTATTTAAAATAGTTCCAGTGTACTAAAATTGATAAAATTTTGGATTTCGGTTCCATTTTTAATGCAGATAACGAATATGTATTTACCTCAATACCGTTAAACAACCCAATTGCTGTATTTATGTATGGGTCTCGGTATGGGCTCAAATTAGGGGCATTTAGGCTGACATTACATCCATTTCTCCAAGTCAAATTATTTGTCATTACATAAATTATCGTTAATTATTTGTAAATTACTTTCAATACCACTTAAAGTTTTTAAATTCAAATTATTACCATAGAGGTAACTCTAAGACCAGAAGGTCCCGAAGAAACGAGCTCAACTTTTTGACTCAGCTCTGGTACTATCTTCGGTCCCAAGCTAATCGATTCACCCCTCGAAACATAAGAAAAACCAATCACCCCTCATTTTATCTGTCATACTTTCATAGCGAATCAAAACAAACATTGCGTAGTACTAGAATTTCGACTAGAATGGGGTACGTTAATCGTTTGCTTGGGACCAATAGGCTAGTCAAGTAGTGAGCCAATTTTAAATCGTTAGTTTCGTATTGATTGTTGTTATTACTGTCTTCAAAGTATTTAAAGTACTACGATGAAATTTAAATATCACGCACTTAGATCTGGAAGGGCACGCCCCTCGAATCCCAATAAATCATGCAGTCGAGTAGTTTCTGGACACACTTCTCGAGTTCCTCTACCAGTGATTTTAAGAAAGTGATGCAACAAATTTGAGATTTTCTCGGTCTATAAACCCTATCCAGCTTTCAACGCTCGGTAATGGTGGCTTGCGCGGGTTTTAAAATGCAGCGGTCACTGTCGTTTTTGACACTAACTGGTTAGCACATGTCGTTTAATTTTCCTTTGTTCCTAAGGTGGGAGGGAGGAGGGAAATTTAAACGTCCAGTAAGCGTCAAAAACTACTGTAAACGCTGTATTTTAAAACCAACGTAGGCCGTCATTACCGAGCGTGGAAAGCTGGATAGATATTGTCAATTAACCACTTCATTCGAGCAGTTAAAGTGACGTTTACTACCACTCGCACTTTGAAATAAAACATTATTTTGAGATTTTTTCTTCTAGAACCACGAGAAAAGTAGCCAACATTTGTGCATTTCAGTTTTGTAAAATCACTGGTAGAATGTCACGCCAAAACTGCTTGACAAAGTGGTCAATTCAGAGAAAATCTAGCATTTGGCGTCAGATTATCAGCTTTAATAACTAGCTGTGGCTGTCAGTTGCGTCGAATTATTTTCCCTAAAACGGAAATATAGCCCTATTTCACGATGTTGGATGAACAAATCTCAAGAAAGGTTGAGTGATAGGAAATGTTATTCTAAACTGCTCGAATGATATGATCCATAGTATATTTTTTATTCGGTTGTGGCTTTCTTTTTCCCGGCGGAACCTTTTGGAAAATTACACTGAAACAAAATCCATTGGTAAAAATACTATATTGCTGGTTTAAAATAAATACCCTCACCAATAGATTTGTGCAGAAAACAATTGACCACTTTGTCAAGCAGTTTTGGCGTGACTTTCTACCAGCGATTTCACAAAACTGGACCAACTAATTTCTTTTTTTTTGTGAAACGCACAAATGTTGGCTACTTTTCTCGAGGTTCTAGAAGAAAAAATCTTAAAATAATGTTTCATTTCAAAGTTCGAGTGGTAGTAAACGTCATTTTATCTGCTCGAATGAAGTGGTTAATTTCATTTAATTTTACTATTATATCTATCAAAATTACTATCCTTTTTACGAAGCATAGTAGTTATGCCAGAATAATAGTAAATTTGTTAACATTCATACTCAGCTATACCAACAATCAATACGAAACTAACGATTTTAAATTGGCTCACCACTTTAGTAGCCTATTGGTCCCAAGCAAACGATTAACGTACCCTATTCTAGTTGAAATTCTATTACTACACTATGTTTGTTTTGATTCGCTATGAAAGTTTGACAGATAACATCAGGGGTGTGTGGATTCATGCAGAACATGCAGGGGTGAGTGAAATAGCTTGGGACTGCTTGGGACCGTTGTTCTGGTACTGAGTGAGCCAAAAATAATAATGATTTTCTTCGGGACCCAGTGGTCTTAGAGTTACCTCTATGGCTATACTGAATTCATAGTAGATTTAACGGTAATAAGCATGGTTATATTGAGAATAAGTTTAAAATAGTATTCCTAACTATGGTCCTTGTTTCAGTGAACGCGAGATGCACAGAAAGATTTCACCGCTTGAGTTCAGTGTAATCTGTGCTGAAGCTGCACTCGGCCGGTCTACCAGCACAGCAGAGCTTGTATATTTCTCATCTGTCAAAAAACTTCATTAATGGCGTCTCGCTGTCGGCTAAAATCGCGTTTTCCACTGGCAAACAACACACAATCGTAGTTTTTTACTATAAATAATCCGTAATAGTGCATACATTTGATGAATTTCTTTAATTGGTTTGTAGTGTTTTAGTTTTTCGTTCTCGTTTCGTTACTGGAAAATGGATATACCCGCTCCTCCGAATGGTAAGTTTGGTTTCGCGTAACATTTCACTTTTCGACATACACATGCCCTCCTCACGAATGATAGATATAAAGAAAAGGCGGCGATTTTTCGTGAGATAGTAGTGGATCAGGGAGCGGAGATTGCCGAGGGGGTGCTAGCTATTTGTCAATTCACATTTTTTTTTTTATTGATTTTCGACCCTGCGTTTGTTTTCCAACTTCACCAGATATCGAATTGAGAAATATCATCGACAAGCTCGCGGAATTCGTTGCCCGTAATGGTCCGGAATTTGAGTCGATGACCAAATCGAAACAGAAAGGAAATCTAAAGTTTGCCTTTCTTTACGGTGGAGAGTATTACAATTATTACCAGTACAAAGTAACTAGCAAGCAGTCAAGTAAGTGAAAGTTCATAAAAATCTGGGCTATAAATGATGGTAATCGATTTGTTGTTTTTCGTAGTGATGAAACAGGGAGGCCATCCTCTCCCACTGATGGGACAGCAAGTGAATCCGTTCGGCCAGCAGTCACAGAACCAACAACAACAACAACAACAACAGAATCAAAACAGCAATCAAATGCCACAAATTTGGTCCAATCCACCACCTCCCCAAGCTGCTCCACAGCAACAGCAGCAACAACAGGCGCCACCGCAACCGCCGGTGATTAGTGCCCAGATTGCAGCACAGATTGAAGCTATCAATACCCAGCAAATCGCTTTGCGCGAGCAGATTCGCCAGTCGGAACTGAACCTGACCGCTCAGCATGGGGTAACAGTACTGCTTGTAGTTTGCGATCTGGAACTTATGAGGATACGTTTTCGTTTTAGGTACTTTTACAGCAACAACAAGCGCAAATCGATGAGGCAGTAACACGGGCCCAGAATGATGCCCTAGTCAAGCAAGCGGATGATAGCAAAGTTTCGCTTAGTGACTTCGATGCTAAACTGCAGCCCATCATCGATTCATGCACCAAGGATAGCATCTCTAATGGTAAGTCGTGTTGAATCCTGTTCTGTATATTCATAATTGTTAGCAGCATTCATGAGTTAGATGCTTGCCATCCCTTTTTGAGATTGATTCCCACATTATGTTGTTCGCACTGAGCGAAAGGGGAGTGCAGTTAGTTCCTTCGCTTAAGATTAAAAATTGTATTCTTCCATTGCTACTTGCGCTGCACTCCCAGAAAGAAATGGAAAGTTTTGCATTTTTGCTCTTAATGTTCCAGTACTTAGTACAATTTAGACACTTCCGTTATCTACATATTTTTTTGCAATCATCAATTTCAACTATTTCTATTTGTGATAGTTCACTAGAAGTCACAGTTATCATTTTTTTTTTTGGGAATCGCTGCTCTGAATAATATTTACATTATTATCTAACTTTATATAATAATAACCATTACTAATTCCAAACAAATCTCAATCTACATATATTTTTTTGTTGATTACAATTTTAGGAAAAGGCTGGATTTTACAGCATTGTACCGATTCGGGAAAATGTCAAATTATTTCGCAGTATCTTTTGAGAAAGTAATTAGAAGCGTTCTAACGTTTTTCTTCTCTTCTTTAAAACTACATAAACACACGAACCTCTGTGTCTTTTGCGGTCAGGAAACTTGTACAGACTTGCGTGACATTAAAGCGACAACGATGAAGCAGCTTTACGTTTTGCAATTATGTAACTGAGTTGATAATCTTTAAAAAAAAAACATAAATTGCAGAACGGTAATGCTTCGCTGACAAACGTGACCGAAACCCATTAGATTTACTAGAGAGACAAATGTTAATTTTCCACCGCGGAAGAATGTTAGAACCGATATCCGAATTTTTGTGTTTTTCGATCTTGTTTCTTCCTATAGGGCACTTATTGCCGGAGTTATATTCGCGCAGAAATTACATCTTATATACTTAGTGAACGATGTAATTCACCACTGGTAAGTCGTTTCTTCAGTCTGCCTATTGTTATTACGCAGACAAAAAGACGTAATTATTCACGCATTCAATTGGAATAGTTCATCATCACTAGCCGTGATGCGATTTTGAAGGAAAAGTTATTCCAAGAATTACGTCTGTTTGTCTGTAGTTATTAGGTTCAGTCTAAATTCGACGGCGAGAAGTACAACATTATGTGTAGTTCTCGGCGTTTAGATATTTTCTAGAAATATAATTAATCAATTAATTAGAGTATTAATAGAGGTAAATTCGTTACTGTTTAATCCTAAACAAGAGGTTGGATTGTTTCATTGTTACAAATATGATAAATGGCGGCACTTGATTCCCACACCGGCATAGCGTGGAAAATTGCAGGTGCTATGATTTGCTAGTAGACAGCCAGAGAGGCGGGATCTGATAAATTAGCGGATACAAACACCTAACTAAGCTTGAACACTAAACTAACGTCTTTTCTATATGCGAGCGAAACAGGAGTTTCTTATCGAATACCATTCCAAGGCACGTAACTTCTGCAGACCACTCAACCCTTGTGCCGTCCATGACTACTGTGCAAGAAGGTGCCGGTATCAGTTTGCGCGATTGCCTATGCAGGAACATGGTAGTTTGGATTTTGGAAGGATTGATTTTGATTTTCCAAGTTTTTGCATAGTCAGCAAAGGTGTCAAGGCATCGTTGGAGCTTGTTTGTAATTTCGCGAGGCATTTTGTCCTTGACTGATATCGCGGTATCATCTGCGAACAGGAAGAACACGCAACCGACGCCGAGGGAATGAATGTCGGAAGTATACAAGCTGTAGAGCAAGGGGCCCAACAAACTGCCTTGCGGAATGCCTGCCGGGATGGAAAATTTGTCTGATAGACAACCATTCAACGATACCTTGAACGACCTTTGCTGAAGGTAGTTACGGGTAATTTTGACCAAATGCAACGGTAAATTGAAGTTACAAAGTTTGAATATAAGTCCGTCATGCCAGACATTGTCAAACGCCTTTTCGACGTCTAGCAAGGCCATGGCTGTGGACTGTGGAGCCCCTTCCTGAACCCAAACTGTTCCGGTAGGAGAATATTGTTTTCCTCCACAAGCAATCTATTGAGAATGAGTTTCTCAAACAATTTGCTCAGCGCTGAGAGGAGGCTGATCGGTCTGTAGCTTGACGGCAATGCTGGTCCTTTACGGTATATTTTTTGCTATCTTCCAGATGCTTGGAAAGTAGTGCAGCTGCAAGCATCTGTTGGCATGGCATGGCAGTTAAAACTGCAGACTTTCATGCTAAGCCTTTTTATGATTAGATTAAAACCGAGGGCTTTCATTCTCTTCGAATATTTAAGCGCTGAGCAAATCTGTTCTACCTTAATTCTATCTTCCGGAGGCACGGCACAAGAGGAGTAATCTACATTTTGAACGCATTGCGTCACCTGATTTTCGAGCGGACTTTGAATAGTTGAGCCAAGCAAATGCGATGCAGCAATATGATTGCCAATCGCATTTGCTTTCTCTTGTGGGGTAATGAACCGATCGTCATCATTTCCGACTCTGAGAGGTGAAACGGGTTTGGGATGAATTTTCAGCACCTTGGCTACCTTCCAGAATGGACGGGAGTGGTCATCCAGATTCTTAACAACACGCCTGGTGGAGTCCTTTCAGTGCCCGGTCGATGTCCTCTACGGTTTCAGGCGGCGGATTTTCATCGATATTTTTGTCAACCACATGCCCAAACTGCACCCACCGGAGAGATGAATGTCGGTTCATCCGGGAATTTCACTGTTAGCCCATACTGCGAGTGGTCGAAGAGCAGACGTCCGTTCTGATTCCGCTGATAGTTCCGCCATGCTTCGTGACGGGCATTTAAATCACCCCCAATGACGAATCGTGAGCTCGTGCGAGTGATGGTGGTCAGGTCATTCTTGAATTGGATGTCTAATCCATTACTGGCAGCACACTGACAAAGGCAGTTTACGACCATGAACCGGACGTTTCCAGTTGGTGATTCCACCTCCACACTAAGGGCCTCGATGATAGAAGTACGGATATGGGGCAGCGTGCAGAACTTGACTCCTTTCTTGATGATGATCGCAACACCACCCCTGGAGTCAACAATCAAGCCGGATAATGTGGTGATCAGGTAACCAAAAGCTGTCACCGGATCTGAGATGGGTCGATACTTTGCTTGCGGAGGAAGTCAGCAAGCTTGAGCTTTTTTGCTCTTACAGAGCAAGTGTTCCATGTGACGACAGTTATCGATTTAGACGCCATACTGAATAATAAACTTACCGAGCACTTGGATCTGTTCGGGCTTGCTGCGGCACTAACGAAGAGCGCTAGTCATGTCGACGAAAATCTTCAGCTCATCCGTAGAGAAGAGATCGGGATTGACGATTTGTTCTGATGGTTGTATCCAGAATCCAGGGGGGATGGGGAGCTTTGTCCAGCAGAACCACCAGACGTTTCTTGACGAGGGCTGGATTGCACCCGCAGATTTGCTTGACCGTGTTGCGTAGCACGAAGAGGCGGGAAGTCCTCCACTCTGAATGCCGGCGTATTTCGTCCTGGTTGGTTTCTTGTGGACGCCTGCTTTCGGATCCGCTTGAAATCTTCGCGTTTGGGGCACTGTTTGTCGGACCCTTGATGAGCGCCACCACAGTTGGCGCATTTGGTATTTTCCGACTCGTCGACATCACACTCGGAGCCACAGTGCGGCTTGATGTAGCAGTGTCGGGTGCCGTGCCCGAAATTTAGGCAAGGCTGATGCTACAATGATGGAATTGATGGAGCGGATGGCCTTCAACGCATTGAGCGTCACCGTTCCCTTCTGGAAATGCACCAGGAAAAGGCAATTTGGATACTTCGTGACGTTCTCGTCCCTCCTTGTCATCCGAAAGATGGCAGTTGGGGCCAGCTTGTAGCGGTCCTTGATTTCCGCTTCGATTAACTTCGGGTCAAAGCTCGGTAAACCTCGGATGAACACTTAGAAGGGCTTCTCGCCTGGGATATCGTGAGTGAAGAATTCCGCCTTTAACTGCTTCAGGTAAGATGTGGCCAGCTCGTAGTCCGCTTTCGTGCGGAGCATCACCTTTGTTCCGATTCTACTGAGCTTGAACTCAGCTTTAATGACCATTGATGCGAAACTCGCGATGAGCGTGTTAAGGGGTGCATTTTTCACTGTCAACGGTGGTAGCTTGACGTTTGCCGCACTTGGGCTGGCATTTTCGGTTTCATCAGCGATACCGAAATCGCCGATATCGCTGACGTTTGTCGCGGTAACATCGTCGCGACCAATCGTGCCATCGGACTGGCCTCGGTTCTTCTTCATCTTTTTACTGCGCTTTTCCGTCACAGCTGGTTGGGTATTCCCTGGGAGGAAGAAGCAGATAGCAATAGATTGTCAAAACGTCTTATGTGGTTTTTTCTATGTTGTAGCATGAAATTCAAAGTAAAATTGTGATTTTACCGTTTCTTCTGAATTTTCAACGTTATGATACGCTGACTACATTAAAAATAGTATTGCAAAATGTATTGTATTGTTAACTGTTTAATTAAAATAATAATCTGTCGAACTTCATCTTCGATTTTCTCAAAATGGTGGTCTATTTGAAAAGTGACGTGAGATTTCCACCCCCCGAGTATCTAGACAGAAAACCTTAGTTTCACGTACCCACTTACAAATTGTAGGGGGCACAACTTTTTTCACATCAGAAAACATGTTTTTGTTTCACTTCATGTGGACGTCGAAAGCAGGCCAAGAATAAATTTTGAGTGAGACGTATTACAGATGTTGCATTATTTTCCTTATATCTTGGAATTTAATCGATTTGATGAAATCAAAATTCATTATTTGGTATGGTCTGGTTAATTCCTCGGGGGCATCTGGGACATGCCCGGAACTGACCAATGTGATCCACGGGGCTCGAAATGCCTACAATTGAAATGGTTATCATATTTTGAAGTAATTGGTTTTGTCACATGATAGGTTTTATTTCTTACCGGTCAAATTTAGTATCATGGCTCACATTCCCCGAAACATGTTCCTGCCACATTTCCAGCACCAGTTGACCGATTCTGAATCTGTTCAATAATGCTCTATGGATGAGGCTATGGGATCATGATACTTTTCATTTTGTTGCTTGCAATTTGCATTAGATACGAGCTCCAAAAATCCATGTTTATCGGAAACAGTTGACCGATTCTAAATTTGATCAACAGCATTCAATGTGACCATAATACTTTTTGTTAGCTAGTTATTTCGTTTATTCGGTTATGTGGTTGCTGACCAACACCACTTAGTTCGCGAATTCCGCGATTTTCGGGTCTTGTTCCGTCCATATCTCCGGGACCAGTTGTTCGATTGAAAATCTATTAATTAACACCCGCATTAAAAATAACCATAAGAAGCGCCCAACCTCCAATTCGGGTTATCATCCCATCTTTATGTGGTATGGTCGTACCATCTATGATATCGTTAGTGTATGGTACATGTTTATTAGGGCATTCGATAGAATCATGGTACCTTTCATTTGATGGCTGTTGTGTTCAATTCGGTAAAGTGGTTGCCGAGAAATTCGTTTAAGAAAAATGTGTTACGCGCTCTCACACGCACATATACAGACAGACATTTTCCAATCCCGTCATGTTTAGTCGATTGCATAACTATGAGAAAAAATATCAATGTTTTTTACAAAAACAAAACTTAAAAATGTTTAAAATTAGTTGATCAAAAATAAGACCAATTGTAAATTTACTCCACCATTATTCGATCTGACAGAACCAGAGGACTAGAATTTTCGCTAAGAGAAGAGGTGACAATAGGGGGGCGAAAATGAACCACTTTTCTGTCAAACGTGAACCAGCTCCTGATTGGCCGATTTCATGTGCGTAAAATAGAGATAGAGATAGATAAAGATAGAGATAGAGATAGAAATAAAAGAGGAAGAAGCCAATTGTCACCTCTTCCTCTTAGAATTTTCGGGGTAACTTGACATTATACTGGAGCTGTCAAATAGCTCCCGGGGTGGAGATTTCTCGCGTCACTTTTCAAATAGATCAATGTAACATATTCACCATTTTGAGAAAACCTAAGTTGAAGTTCGACAGATTATTATTTTAACCGTTTAAAAACAATACAATTTGCAATACTATTTTTAATGCAGTCAGTGTATAATAACGTTGAAAATTCAAAAGAAACGGTAAAATTACAATTTTACTTTGAATTTCATGCTACAAAATAGAAAAAACCACATAGGACGTTTTGACAAGTCGAGGTGTACATCGGACATGTTACATTGGACGATTTTCCTCAATGACATAATCTATGAGTGTTACATTGGACGTTTTGTCTACATGATACTAGATTCCCTTTCACAGATTTCAGAGTATAGTACCTAACTTTAGATTGGCCCCGCCTTTGGAAAATGAGCACCAATCATGTTAGGCAGTCCGAATGACCGAAGTAACAATCATGTACCCATCATTTCAAATTGTACATTGGACAATTTTTGATCAATGATTATCTTAAATAAATGAAAGTAAATTTGGATGGATGTTTTTGTATCACATACAATGATAGAAGTGCAATAGTTTGTATCGCTTAACTCGATTTGTTTACATTTGTTACATTGGTCTATTTGAAAAGTGACGCGAGATTTCATTCTTCTAATGTTGGAGAGCTGCCGCTCCAACGGTGTTAAGTCTCTCTCTCTATCTCTCTCTCTCTATCTCTCTCTCTATCTCTCTCTCTCTCTTTGTTTCTCCAACAGTGTACTTTCTCTATAACTGTAGCGTTGTAGGATAGCTACTGTGTTACCTGACTTATAACGAATATACGTTGTATACGAGTACCCCGAATACAACGTATGACTCGTCTAATTTTGCATAGCATTTGCAATGTAAAATTAGACGAACTATACGTTGTCCAAGACCAACAATTGAAATAGCCTTAACTCCATTTTGTAAACAAACCTTGTAAGGTTATTTTCTTGCGAACCGAAACCTTCATTCGCAAACCTAAACCACAAACGGGTAGAGGAAAATTTCCCCTACCTGTTAATTATGTTGGTTTGCTTTTGCGGACTTCGGTTCGCGAGAAAATGGCCTTACAAGTTTTTTTTACAAAATGGAGTTAGGGCCATTTCAATTGTTGGTCTTGATATCATTCGATTGAAGATGAACCAATACAACTATTAAATCGATTCTGTGAAAAAAAATTCTCGTGCCCATCATTTGAAGAGTTCCTTTCTCATTCGAAGCTCATTGTCACTGCCAATTGAGTCACCCACTATCATTTGATATACGACAGTGGAGTGTGAAAGAAACCCAGCAAAATGGTCCCGAACAGAAAATTCGACGTCGGATCAATGTATGGCTAATTTAAGGTCGATGTCGACCCAATTTCGTGTTGTTGTCGGGTCAATTTGGGGTTTATGTTGGGTCAATGTCGGGTCAACATCGGGTTGCGGTTTGATAGAAGTCAGGTTGGTGTCGGGTTGAGTTAGATTTTTCGCCGGAATGTCGACCAGAGCTAACCCCCTTGTGAAGAAAATTACACATCGATCTTAAAAAAGTCTCTTTAGGAACAGCATCAAAATTTGCATTTTCCTACGCTTTTGAATACCATACAGTCACTGCAACATATATTATACATATAAGCGTAAAAATATTCTGCACCCAGCCTAAAATATGCAGCCATTCTTGTAAATCTCTAAGCCACGTCTCTTCCGATTGAAAAGTGCTACTCCCGTCATAACACCGTGCACTACTCGATTGCGCTATACGCAAGTAGCACCAGAGCTGTCCAACTACTCTCTCCTAAATATGAAATCTCTCTCTCCTTATACCCTGGACAGACTATGGCTTATATCATGTAATATAGGCTGTCTTGCAATGAGCACTCATACATAGGATTTCCAGTGAAAACGGGGTATTAGCGTCATCAATCTTCTTTCTATCTACTCAGCGTGCGCGCAGCTAGCCACAGCAAAACACAATCTTTTTTGCATCGTAGATAGAGTCGTCCCCCTCGGGACGCGCTCCCTTATTTTAGAGTAGCACCAGTGTTTTTTGCACCACTCTGAGTTTTTAGTCGATCCCTGAGTGATTGTTTGAGATTGTTCAGTGTGCAGTGAGAAACCGTACTCTTCCGTTTGGTATTTTATTATGCCACTCGATTTTTTGACAAAACCTTGGTTAATGGTATCTTTCATTATTAATTTGTGTGCATTTTTAATGAATTCCTGGTGTCCCATTGAATAAAATAGCTGGAAACGAAAGTTTTCATAAATTACTTTACGCAAGATTTCAATACCGCCTTGTGTATTCTTGTTCAACTGTAAGAAAAGCATAGTAAAATCAAGGGGGGGGAGGTGGCTGTCAAATACGAACAATCGTCGCCTACCTCGCATGCCTCGCATAACTGGTTCCAAACGTAAACAAGCCATAAGAAACATACAGCGATTGTTTACGTTTGGAGCCAGTTTCATACAAGAATGATCAGTAGGCTGATTTGACAGCACGTCCCCCCCCCCCCAGAGTAAAATTGCTCGGCTGCCAATGACAGTTCGTGACAGCAGCCGTCTGGCTGCATTTGACGTTTCATTTTTCTCTCTTCGCGACTCTCCCTCAGGGTATTCCCATCGATGGTAAGAACAGCAAGTTTGTTGACAACAATATTCAAATACAAAAAAAAAATCGAATTGATTCAGATTCCTGGAACTTGGCTGCTATTTATTGAAACGCAAGCTGCTTTTCTTTTTTATAGAGCAAACATTCAGAGCTAAATGCGGCATGTTTGACGCCCATGTTACGTTCTTTATTCATTTTCAAACAATTCCGGAGAACTTTGAGATTTGGGCGTAATTGCTATTATAAACAAACACGTCAATCGCCGATTTCTCGCGAATAAAAGAACAATCTTGCAAACAAACTATACAAAATGGTAGAGGAACTATTCATCTACCTGTTTGTGTTATTAGTTTTTTTAGATTGAGCTTTAATTCGCGAAAAATCAGCAAATTTCCAAAACACAACGGGCACCACAAGGAATAACCCTTTCGCGGCACACGGCACTATTTCAGATGAAATTATGTATTTATTATCACAGCCAACGATGCCAGATATACAGACTTTTGTACACGATAAAGGTGGACACTATCTTTTTTGAACCCTTGTAACTTTAATTGTAATAACGATTTTTCTAATCTCATTCGATATAAAAATAGTTACAAATATTAACTAGTTATTGCATTAATTATAGCTTCACGAAATAATTCATTTGATATTTTTTGGATACAATTAAAAAAGGGTGACCACTTTTGTCGTGTACAGAAGACTGTATATATGGCATCGTTGATCACAGCACAACTCAACAAAAACACGACTTTTTTTCACGAACCTTCTTCTTGATGGAGCCCATCAGCGCCCGCACAGTGGAAACGGACACGGAATCAGCGCATTTCTTCCATTTTGCCCGCATCTGCTGGATGTCTTTGACTGTCCCGCCGCTACGTCGAAGTCGTTGCTTTGAAATTGCCCAGTATTTTTTGATTGGTCGAATTTCCCGGCAATTCGGAGGATTCACTAGCTTGGGGATAAAATCGATCTTGTTGGCAGCATACCACTCCATTGCCCCTATGCTTTTTCAAAAATGTCAAGTCGATTTGTTTCACTTTGGACGCATTGTCCACTGGAAAAATTAATCGCTTATTTGATTTCTTTTTTCTAGAATAAAGAGCATGTGTTTATGTAATATTTCAAAAGAACATATAAAATATATGGCGTTAAGCAATAAAACTTCAAAATTGTCGAAAAGTCACAAAGGACAGTTATGCGTCCACCGGATGAAACAAACGAAAAAAAATACCACAGTAGCACAAACTTGAGCAAAATATGGTTCTGATATTTAGAAAGGTCTTGAAAACCTCTTCCAGACAGTACTCACCCCTCATTGTGGTATTTTGAATAGTCTGTGCGCACTTGTGGCAAAATGAAACAATCCAACCTTCACGACTTACAACAATTCCAACAAAATACCGCTCCTTGGTCGTGTATAGTCTTCTCAAGATATACTTAGTAATAAACTTTCCAGCATCCGGAAGCGTACCGATGAGCTGAAAAAATGTTTGGAGAGTGCCGTCATACCCATGTTCTGCAACGCTCAAATCAGTAAGTACTAAAATCTGCTGTTCACATGGCGATCCTGGCTTATAATAAAATCCACCTTCTAGCGGCCCAAAGCGATGAACAGCGCGCAAAGCTGTCCAAGCTGCTATCCCTGTGGGAATCGAAGGGGAATTTTTTCGATGCCTGTGTAATATCAAAACTCAAATCGCCTCCGTCGTCGCTCCAGGAGTACCAGAACTCATTGCTCACTCAATACGCTGCTATCGTTGCACAGATCACGCAGTCTACAAAAGTGACCTTCGATAAGTATGTATCCTAAATAGCATTTTGTTTTGCAGTGGTAACAGTAACCGTATTTTTGTGTCCACCAGTTATCAACAACAGCACCAGGCATTCGTCCAGCATGCCACACAGCAGTTGGCATTGTTGGAAAAACAGAAACAACAGATCGAGCAACAGGCTCTGAAAGCTGCTCTTGTTGCACAGCAGCAGAAAAGTGCAGCACCTCTGCCACTACTGCCGGAGCTATCCGGCGGTGCAAATAACGGTCTTGGTCAGGTAAACTCCATTCTTAACGCTAGTCGTGGAAATAATGACCGAAATGTGTCCATTCCATCATTGTTGGAGCAGAACATCAATTTCACGTTGCTGTCAGGTGCCCTCCAGAACTTGCAGAACATTAACAGTCAGACTCAGAACAGTAGAGACAACGATAGCAGAAACAGCAGTCTCGGAGCAGATGATCGTGATCGGCGTGGAAACTATGCGGTAACTTGTTTTCTAGTTGAAACTCCAACGCTCTTAACTGACTATTGTATTATTCTTTCGTAGCAATCCAACAATTCAGGGGACGGCAACAACAATAATGGTGATTACACGCAGCCACCGCCCAACTTTCCAATTCCGGATATGTCCCGACCTCCACCTGGTATGCACGACTATCCGTACAGTTCGCGAGACAACGAAGATTCGGATGACAGACGAAATGATGAATACGATGATCAACCAGTTGATGACGATGATCATCGAGGCGAGGACGAACAGGATCAAGAAGCGGAACCAGAGTTCAAAGAGGATCAACGACCGCAAAGTCCGCAGCAACCGTCAATTCCCTATTTTGAACTGCCTGCCGGGTTAATGGTTCCTTTGATTCGCCTCGAAGACTTCAGCTACCATCCGCTGGATCCCGAGGACATACGATTACCTCCGCCGGCACCTCAGAACGAACGTTTGTCGTCGGCAGTGGAGGCTTTCTATGCACCCCCTAGCCATGAGAGGCCTCGTGATGGCGAAGGATGGGAGAAGCTAGCCTTGTATGAGTACTTCAAAGTTAAAAACGCCTCCCGCAAGCAAAAGGAAGAAGAACTTGAGGCAGGAGTACGAGAACGTTCGAGATCTCCAACACCGATCGATCCAGAACTGCTTAAGGCATCCAAAAAACAAAAGAAACGGGTCTATCGTTCGAAGAGCCGTAGTCGATCAAAGTCCCGATCCAGAGACCGATCACGGTCTCGCTCGCCCGTTCGATATAGGAACAGATCACGTTCCAGATCCAGATCCAGGTCCAGATCGCCTCGACGGGTACCACGTAATAGAAGCCGTTCACCACCTCGCAGAGACCGAGATCGTTCTCGAGATAAACGGTCACCGACTCCACCGAGCTTCGGTGGAAGTGGCTTCGGCAGTAAAAATGTGCAGGCTTTCCCGGATGATAAAGTGCAAAAGATGACCGGGCTAGGTGGAATAGGGGCTTTACAGGCCGCAGGAGGCGAAATATGGGGTGGCAACGATCGAGAAGGTCTAGGATCGTACGGAGCAAGGAATGATCCGTACGAGAGTTTTCGCAAAAACAAAGGCGCAGCATTTATAACACGCATGAAAGCTAGGGCCGACGATAGGTAAGGCCGCTAAATGTGGCATCACGAAAACTTTTTCGTGATATTTAAGTGTGTCAATCTTATAAGTGAGACAAACGAGGACATCCTTAATAAAAAATAATATATTTAAATTACACGATCACGAGGTTTATCATTGTTGTATCACAATTTCGCTAAGTTAGCACCACATGCCTCGATGGAAAAGATCAGCTACACGGCGAATGAGAACGACCCAAATTTGAGTTTATTTCACTCATCGCCAAAAGTGCAGGAACTAAGCGATGAGTAAATTTGCCTTATGGTTTCCTGTGGAAACCTCAAAAATCGGCCGGAAAATGAGGAAAAATGAAGAAAATTTTACTCAGTCTAGGAGTAGTGCCAATAGATTGAGTGAATCCAATCTTTATTTTTCTCATATCCGCGATGTTTTTCCTGGGAAAACCTGGAAAACATGAGGTAAACTTACTCATCGCTGAGTTCCTGCACTTTACTTAATTTATGAATTAACTAAACTAAAATTTGGGTCGTTCTCATTCGCCGTGTGAGGCTGATGGATGTTTCCAACGCATCAGGATGAGTAGTATCAAGACAAATAAAAGGTACTGCAGCTTCACATGCAGAGAATTCTGGTTAAGCAAGTTTATATACCAATACAAGATCAAGCAGTCGAGTCTGTTTAATACGGAGTTGATTTGCGCTAATGGCTGATTATTCGTGTCCGTATTCCAAACCAACCCAGATTGAGTCAAATTACCAACATACAAAGCCTAATCATTATTGTCTAATTGAGACATCACAACGATTTAGGGGTCGTCCATTAATTATGTCACACATTTAGGGGGGAGGGGGGGTTTTGAAAACTGTGACGAGCCATACAAAAAAAATTAAGGTCCATACAAAAAATGTGACAAAGGGGGGAGGGGGGGTTGAAAATGGGCCAAATTTGCGTGACATAATTAATGGACCATCCCTTACTATGATTTTCAATGCAACCTGAGTCAGATTTGCGGTCCGAAGGTAAGTATGTACATATCGTCAGACTTATAGTGAATTCAATTATTATCGGAGTTGGAACCAGTTCCAACCCAGTGCAAAAACGAACTTTTTGTCAGTGCGAACCTCAACGTGAGCTAAGTTTTAAAAACAATGGGTACTTTTTCCTTACCGTGTAGACAATTTTGATTTCATATTAGTATACTTATAAATTTCATAGGCATGAGTTATGCATTTAACGGACAATATACAAGTATCGTAGTTGGTAGTACTGCCACGTTGGTACACACTACCGCCATCTGTTCAGCGCAGTGCCCACCACAGTGTACTCAACAGATGGCGGTAATGTTTTAGCGACGATGTTTTACAGTGAGAAATATTCAATGTGTTATGTCTGTTTGTCTGTGCTATTATATTTCCTAAGCGTTGATAGACGTGGAAACAAATCACGGAATCAATAATCTGATTGCTCTGGATTCTATTATTACTTTTTTTTTAAGTTTCATAAGCTAATTCATAAGCCAAACTTAAACTTATGATTTCCATAATAAATCCTTTTGTCGAAAATTCATAAGTGGTTCTTATGGAATTCTAACGTTCCTCTGCCTCAGTGTATCTGTTTGAGAGAAGTACTGATCGGGTGTAGACATTCAAATGGCTACGATCATTCCGAAATACCGTAGAAGAACTGTCGAATAGTAGCGACGAATGGATTCGCCACGTTTCGGTAAGCACCACGGTACCGTAGCTGGACTCTATGGCCGCCAGAAAAAAAGTCGTCGATCTTAGTGTGCGACCCACGAACGTTTTGGTACTTCGCCTACTGACCCGGCTTGAGATGCAGAAGATTGATGTTCGGTTAGTTGTCGGGTCGGGAAGTGGACTGTTTTCGACAGAATTGTACTTTCCTGACTGTAGAAGCTGGAAAACCCCTTCACCAGATCCTATCACGGCTGTTTGGCCGTAAACTGGACGGTCGCGAATATTGGCCCAGGGGCTCCCAAAGTGCAGTGTGTCGTGTGTTCCGGGAAACAATCTACGCGCAGAATTATCGACGCTGTATAACACACGTCAAAGTCGAACGCCGGGATCCTAAATTGAGCAATTACAGGACGCCAACGGAATGGCTGGAGGGCCATCCGGTCATAGGTAGCACTGCCATGACACGGCTCCGAACCGAAGAAATGACTGGTTTAACGACGAATGCAAGCAGCTAGTGGATGAGAAGATTGCAGCACAGACGAGTGGATACAGACAAGCGCGGAACATTTTTTTTTCTTTATTTAAGAGATTTTTAGCCATAGGCTAGTTCATCTCTATGCGCGGAACAGGCAAAACTCGGTGTATCGGAGGAAGAAGCGCGACAGGAAGATGGAATAAATGTATGCGAACGACACACGGAAGTTCTACAAGATGTTGATCAGCTCGCGAACATTGAATGGTCCATTTCCCGGAATGCAATTTTCCTGAATATATCAAGTCTAATATTTTTTTATAAAGAAGGTAACTCTATTTTTTTTCGAATATTTCAATAAAGATGGGAACATTTCCCTCTTTGATGGTTATTCCGAGAGTCGAAGTGACTTTTGTCACTAGTGAAGTGAGAAAAGTCACGTCGTGGTGACGTGACTCTCCATTTGATTTGCACAGAGAGTCACGTCACCACGACGTGACTTTTCTCACTTCACTAGTGACAAATGTCACTTCGACTCTCGGAATAACCCCCAAAGGGTAGTTTAATAAAGAAGAGATCATTCCTCTTTTGAATATTTTAACAAAGAAGGGAATATTTCCTTCTTTGAATATTTTGATTAACAAGAGAAACCTCTTTGAATATTATAATAAAAAACATAAATCTACAGGGACAGCCCCTATGGGGTTGTACGCAATTGTGACGTAGGACTACGTGGTCTTATATAATAAATCTTATTTGTTAACTGTAGCAGGAGTTTGGGTTATGTGTAGGAATAGACTTCTCTTACGTTTGTGAATTGCACAAGTATCAGTTCAGTACTTTGGGTAAATTTAAAGGTTTTCTTGCACTAATACTTCACTAATAAAAAAATAGCATAAACGAACAATAACCCGCATGATTGAACTACTCCACAAATGGTTTGGATGATTCCCCGAACACGTCGTTAAGCAAATTTACCATAATATTTTTATTAGGGTTATAACACAGACAAACAGACGTAACTATTTGAAAAAGTTTTTCTTGAAAACATAGTATCTCAAAACATAGGACCTCAGTAACGACATCTCTAGGGCTTCTCGCGGAAAACAAGCTTGCTCGCTAACTCGCAAACAATATTGCATAAAAGTTTTATAGAGTGTATAGAAACGTCAAAGTGATCCGATGCCTGCGCTGCGGCGAGTAGTTCGTGGAACTGATAATATTCAAATCAACCGTTAAATGCGTGAACGAAGATACACAATGAAGATTTCGTCTGTTTGTCTGTGCTTATAATTTACCCCGAGTTCTGCACTAATACTTGTGCATTTCACAAACGTCAGAGAAGTCTACATGAACGTGAGCGGGGTTCTCTCTGTTTACACTCTTTAGTATGACGCATTTGACATAGATTGCCCACAGCCGATGTGCGGTATAATAGGTGAGGAGAAAGGAAACTAGTGGTCTCTTTCGTTCTCGCGTCTTCTTATGCAGCAACAGACGTGACGTCACGTCTGCTGTTGCATAAGAACACCGTCAGAATGAAAGAGTCCACTAGTTTCCTTTCTCCTCACCTCTTTTACCGCACATCGGCCCACAGCGACTCACGAAGAGCTACTGACTCCGATCAATAGCGGTGCGGCTTCTTCTTCCTTTTATGGATGCTCATGTGGGCTGCAGCTTGCTGCCTGCAGGCAGCCTTTCGTTGTGTATTGGATAACACCACCAATTAAAACGCGGTGATTGAATAAACACCGTTTGGTGAGACTGGATGCAATTTAGCTTTGAAATCTGTGTTAGGGAAATGGCTTTTTGCAGGCAATCGGTGATAATTTAAAAAAAAGCAACCGTTGCAGATGGTAAAGTCTTAAATTTAGCAAATGCGCAGAAATATTTCTGATCGATTGGTGATAAAATTATTGAAATTGTTCCAGGAACAGCTAAGTTATTCACGTTCAAAATCTTTCACAATTTTGTTACATGTTCCATTTTTGGTTTTTACAAAGTGTACCCCCCTATAGAAATCACAGACGTAGTCCTACGTCAAAAAAAAGGCTCTCCGGTGAATTTATAATTCCGGGAAATGGCATCCCGATGAATGTGATGCCATCGTTTGTCTTAATGATTAAAAAATAAAACTATATTAATATTCTTGAGATGCCAAATAGAGGTCAATTTTACTGTTGTTGTTGCGCAATACTTTTCACTGCATTATGCCAAACGACTGTATGCCGAACGTGGTAGACCCCCTTTTTTGTGCTACGATTTATTTCTATAATATATGTCGAATACAGTCGAAATTCACTGGTTGGGCCACCATCTCAGCCGCAACTAACGAATTCGGTTCGTTAGTTGGGTCAACTGATAGAAGGCTAAAATTTGTTGACGGGTTTGCGCATTCTTTTTTGTGGTTGAGAAGATTTAACAAAAACCACTTCGGATTGAAGTAAATTACTTGGAGCTGAGTGGAAAAAGTAAAACACTGATATGGTTAATATTTGTTTTCTTCTAGAATTTCAAATGTTTCGGACAAATGCCATATATTTACATTCGCGTATGCTTACCCCTTGGAGGATTTTTTGGATGATTGTCAAATATATTTTGACATCCACTTGCTTTTTAATTGGGTTATGCCCGTTATGCCCCAACCAGCGGAGACCCAACTAACGAGCGAATTTTAGCTGTACGCCATTTTGATTTTTTTTCAAGATTTTAAATGGTCGAATTTTAGCACAAATGTGAACGATTACCCATAGTAAACAGTTATGCAAATCGGAGATGGTCGTATAGTCGCTATATTCATAGTCTGGCGGATAGAATATCGGGAACCAATTGAGCTGTCAAATAGCGGAACCAATCGAGCAAATCACGACCAACAACAGAAAAGAGCACATTAGCTGTTGCGAACAAAATTACGGAAACCGTTTTCTCGTGACTCAAGGCTCGCCTACACAAACTAACACCATCTTTAGGTTGTGGAAAGTTTCCCCTATCCGATGATGCTGGTAATTTATCTTCTATTGGCGATGAAAGAATAATCAACATTTTGTTTATAAAAGTTGATAGTACCTTTTCAATTGTGGGTCTACAATATATTGAATTGGTTCCGCTTTTTGCTAGATCGAAATTCTATCCGCCAGACTATGAATATAGCGACTATAGATGGTCGAGTCTAAACTATTTAGTTTTTTGCTTTTCGACCTGGAACTGCCCCATAGCAAGTTCTTCAGCGGAATGATTCTCTCAAGAACAACGAAAGAACTTTTTCATGATAAAGAACATTCCAACACTAGTACATAAGTCTGAGTTGTAAAAGTTTGACATTTTTGAAATATTGACCAGGAAGATCGGGTGAAAAAACTACAATTTTGAAATAGAAATTCGTCAGTTGCCATCCTGGACTTGGAATAGTTGGTAATTTCCTTTATTATTGATATCATACTATCAAAAAAAATTAAAGCCATCCAGCCACATTTTATTTACTGTTTTCTATTAATAGTTTAATTTACAATAAATACTGAATTATCATTTTCTTCTGTTTTTGTTGTTTTAGATAATTATCGCTCAATCACCATTTAGTTTTACACACTTTTATTTTGTCGTTCGTTTTGCATTCCAAAGGGCATCACCTATTTATATATTTTTTGCTTTTAATTTGCGTTGCAATATTTCTATGTCCTGTTTTAGGTAGTCATATATACTGCCGCTCTTCGCATGTCGGTCCCATAGTTGTTTTTGTCAAAACTGAGTTTTTCAATGCAAATGGTAGATAATCACCCATATTTTCACAATACTGGATGAACTCAACAACTTTGCTCTGAAAAAGTTTGAGAAGACAGTCAAATTAGTTGTCCCATCACATAAGAAGTAATGGTACGAAGCTAACTTAAAACGCGATTTTCTCGGCTTGCTGATTTTCGCTATGGGACGGACATGCGAATAGCGGCAGTATAGTCGTCACCCTAAATGGGATCAAGCCCGCGTGTGTGTGAGTGTGGTGTGCACCGATGATCGCACGTTTGCTAAATATGCTCTTCTAGACTATAATAATAAAAATCACCGATTATGGAATTTTGCTGCTTTGTTAAAAACTAGATTTAGCAATCTATGTGGCAGAACGTTCATTTTTTTGCAGTTTAATACAACAATTCGTTTTGTTTCTATCTGAAGGAATCTAGAAAACTGATATTTTTTATTTGGTACTGTAATATTTGTTACTGCTATGTAGTCAGTATTGATGTGTGCAAAAAGTGCATTCCGTTTTTGTTATTGATTTATTTAAAACAATTTTATACGATTTCTTTTTTTAATCATATCTACAGTTTTATTTCTTTTATATTAGGTGATCTGCATAAGATTTTCGCAGACCAGTTGGTATATTTTTAACACCCAGATTTCCTAGTGGAAAGTATTACCAAGGTGAAAGTGGATATTCCTTCAATTTATGAAACAGTTTGAAAAGACTGAGCCCGAACATAAAAGTATTAACAATAAACGCGTTTAGTGGTATATCCATTGTGTACAATAAAACAAAAAATGAAGGGCTTGTTACAAGCGTCGATCGATCGGAACATTGTATTATAAATATGCCTACATTCCCATAAAAATAAACAAGGAAAAAAGAGTGGATATGGTGCGCATGCTGTTGCTTACAATCATTCAATGTTCATGCTTTTGATCACATAATGAACTATTAGTGCGAATATGACGAATCCGATCAGCACGATCAGATTGGTGTACAGGGAATGCCAAATGTTATTGCTATCGTCGGTGTTCGATACTGCGCTAGCTCCGCCTTCAGAGGAGTCCCCTTCCAATCCTTCTGCTGGCGTGCCAACACCGGCAGTTCCATTGGCGACGTTCGAAGTGTTATTGTTCGCTGCATTCTGTTTCCGGTGCTCTTCGATCTTGGCCAAACGCTCGTTGATCTCTTCGCAAATTTCGGGGAACAGCTCACAAAACACCTCGTTTTTCATGTTAAATTCTAACGATTGGCGGGCATATTTCCGTTTCTCATATGTAGTCGATTCGCACGAACCGAGCGTGGGTGTAGTTTCCAGCATGAAGCTGAGAAGACCTGCAGATAGTTCAATAGAGTTCATGTGCGGTTTCGTAAAATTATTGATTTCACCTACCCGTCAAAATGGTTGCCACCGACCATGCTGGATTCCAGGTGTCCGGATGGAAATCCGATATGCTAAGGCAAAGCCGTTTGTTAGTTTTGAACCGCCCGTTCGGCGTTACCATGTAAATCGATGGCGGTTTAAAAGGAAACTCCTTGGTAAACAGTAACGTTCCGTGGTAATATCCACCGTGGTACGGAGAATCTTCCGGCCCGTTGATCACGTAGTGCCACTCGAGGATGTTCGAAGGGAGCGGTTCCGCCGTGATATAGGGTACTGGTAGTGGTAGTAGTGGTATGATCATAATTAACGACGTAGCAATTAATTAGCGTACATCTTTCGATCGTAGAAAATGTAACTCACCTGGATCCCTCTTCAGACGCATGTAGTCCTGCTTCAGCCGGGACGTAGCTGTTGGCTTTTGATTGGTCATGATTAAATTCCTATCAGAGCTGCTGGGAGCACACCGATGTGGGCAACCAAAAGTCGCACTACTGATAATTTTCACGTAAACAAAAAAGTACACGTAATTAGGATTTCCTATTCATCTGTAGTCTGTTTTTATGGCAATATTGACATCTGAAGATTTCGGACATCTAGATACATATTTTGGTTTACCTGTAATGCTGAAGTGAAGAGGGAGCTTGTTCCTATATCACGTCGTATTAATTTCTCGAAAATTGTACAATTAAATGGATTCTTTTTCGATAAAAGAGAAATACACATACGTGAAAGTAGCTCGGTATGAAAATTTGTACCACACTCGATGACATCAAAACATTCACAATTTCACATGATGGACCCGGTGTAAAATCTATTGGGTGCATGTATGATTTGCAGGGTGTCACTTAAGGTGTTTTTGCAGAACGGCGCACACTGCGGGGATAAAAATGCAAACATTTCCGCATAAATGCAAACCATTGCTTGACCTTACCAAGAATGGTTAAAAATGTTTATAATCCCTGCTAAACTTTACCTGAAATGGTTATGGAACTTTACATGAACGTTTGTGTGATAAAGTTTTCCCCTAATGTATTTTTTTTAATTTTCTCTATTTAGGAGATTTTCAGCCAAGCCCCCCCCCTAATGTATTATGATTTTTTGTAAGTGAACCTTGCAAATAATGGGTTGTTAAGAACCATTACCATTCAAAATTCATATTTTCTCCCGAGGGGGACGACTATCTACGATGCAGAAAATATTGTGCTATGCTGTGGCTAGCTGCGCGCACGCTGAGTAGATAGAAAGAAGATTGATGACGATTTTGAAGATTTCCTGCAAAAAGATGATGCTCGATGCAAGTAGATGGAACAAATGAAAGAAGATTTTTCGAAGATTGATTCGCTAGTGTGAGATTTGTTGAGCATCTTAACTTGAGATTAAGATGTGTCGCCCCCCTCGTTTTCTCCATACATTTTCGGAAAGAAAACTATATTAAAACCTTTTTACTTATGGTTTGAGAACTTTAATGGTAATGGTTATGGTAGTCAGTAAGGTCCATGGATGGTTTTGTAACATCGATCAACTTTATGTGGAATATATCGCGAATAGGTTGCCTATCAATGAATGATTACCAATTCTCGATATATTCTACGTAAAGTTGACCGACAATACAAAACCATCCATGGACCTTACGGACTACCATAACCATTGCCATCAAAGTTCTCAAATTGTTGCTCTGCTTCTGGATTCTGTTTATTCTTAACTGCACACAGCGTAAATATTTACATTTGTTTTTGACAAAACTCAGGTAATCATGACAGATTCTGATGCAATAGGTCTCTTTTTTCATTCGCGTTGTTTTCAAAGATCAAAATGTAATGATTACCTGATATTTGTCAAATTATGTAAATATTTACACTGCTTGTACCGAAGAATGTGTGGGCACATGAAAATCATGTGGAATTTTACATGGAAATTCACCAATAAAAATGTGTTGAATTTTACGAGTGTATACACAGCAAAAAAAAATGTAATATCGATCAATGTAATTCAAGCTGATGTATGAAATAATGATGTAATAGCAAAAAGCAGATATAATATTACATCAATGGATGTAATTTTGTACGCAGATCGATGTACATCGTACAACGTTATATTACACAACCGATGGATTGACCTGGTTGCAGCAGTTTGGATGTAATATTCAACAACATTTTTTTTCTGTGTAGAGTTGAGAGTTCAGTCACAGACAAACAGACATAACACATTGAATGTTGTTTAACATAAAACATCGTCAGTAAAACACTACCGCCATCTGTTGAGTATACTGTGATGGGTAGTACGCTGAACAGATGGCGGTAGTGTGTAAACGTCAAACGCAAGGGTTATTGACTATGTGCGCCACAGGCGGCGGTACTACCAACTAAAAACATTTAAATTGACCGTTAAATGCGTGTTCGATGAACAAATTGTCAGTGTTATGTCTGTTTGTCTGTGGTTCAGTTATAGCACAAACGAAGTGACAGACGGAACGGCTCGAAAAATTTGGTGATGAACCTGCTATTGCAATTTTTCAGTATACCACATGGCAACACCACTAATACTGGATTGTAACACATGGCAACACTACTACCATAGAGGTAACTCTAAGACCAGAAGGTCCCAAAGAAACGAGCTCAACTTTTTGGCACAGCTCTGGTACTATCTTCGGTCCCAAGCTTATCGATTCACCCCTCGAAACCTAGGAAAATCCACTAACCTCTCATTTTATCTGTCAAACTTTCATAGCGAATCAAAACAAACATAGTGCAGTTCAGGAATTAATACTAGAATGGGATACGTTAATCGTTTGCTTGGGACCAATAGGCTAGTCAAGTAGTTTGGCAATTTCAAATCGATAGCTTCGTATTGATTGTTGCTACTACTGGATTGTACTAGTATTTTCACCAAATGCACTAGAATGTTTTGGTTCTATCTCTTTCACTCTACTCAAAACTGAAATGCATAATCAAAATGACAAAATGATACACTCTTTGCACACTGTCAAAGATTGATTGCGCACAAAATCAATTTTGTTAAAATCAAACTAAAAATACTAGCCCATCTGGTGGCCGATGGCACAAGCTTTTAAGAAAATTCTATTACAGAGAACCACATTATTTTAATTGATTTCTTTGCCAGTTAGTCGTCTGTCACTTCGTTTGTGGTTATAGTAAATCCAGGGGGAACGACACTCATGCTGATGCATTTTATTGTACCATGCTTGCCTGTAAAAATAATGTAATTGAAGAGAGTTTTTTGAGTTTGTCGTCTTGACGAAAATAAAGTAAGGATAAAAAAAAATATATGTGATTCCTAATGGGATTGCATTGGATGCGAGGGTGCTTTAAATTGTCATGGGGATACGTGCAACTGAAATGAAACAGTACGAAAGAAAAAAATCGAAGTAGCCATTTTAGTCAATGCTCAGTGAAAAAATAATCTCGTTTGTTTCTTACCGGATCTAAATCCATGAATGTAGTGTAGTGTAAATTGTTCATTCTCAAGCGATAATGGTAAGTAAAAAGTTAAATTAGAATCTAATTCTCGAGTACTTTTTCAAATGGACGTAAGTGACTTTTGACACGAACTGAGAAAAACGGGTTTGATGTTTCATGCGGAAACGTTTAAATCTCATTTTAAAAATATTGGTTGAATTCCAATACCGTTTCCACAAGCGAAACATTATTTTGACGCGCTATAATGTAGCGTAAAAATTTTACACGTTTGTTGCGTGTATCATACTGTTACTGAGAAATAATCTTCATACGCCCTTTTGCTTTCGCAACTATTACTTACGCTCCCTCAGATTCGTCGTTTTGACATTTATGTTGTGTGATACGTCAAGCCAGATAAGACTGTTTATAATTTCTAAAATCAGTTACGTCGTTAGGTTTTAGAAATTTGTGTGGCCTAAAAACATTGAAAACGGTGGACAAAAAGGTGAACAAAGTGGTGAACGCCTAAGCTTTTTCACATTTATATCACTGTGAAGTAACTGAGAAGTGTTGAGGGAATTTATACCTGTAATTGTAATCAGTTCATTTTTGCTTGCTAATCTGGTTAAAAAGTTGTACATAATTATCTTAAAGAGAAATCGTCCAGCTCAATCCTGTGTAGGGGTAAGCAGTGGGACCATCATCATCATCAACCACTCAAGTGCAGTTCAATCCTGGTCGAATTCGCCGGCAAAAATTTCGGTCAACATCCGGTTACTTCGACGACTGTCGGATTATCTTATTCGATGCTGCAATCAATAGTTTGTTATCTAAAAAGATACAAGGGAACACAGACTGCACTTCCAATTCCTGCTGGACACAATAAAATCTGTCAGCAAACACTCCAATCACAGACAAACAGATGAAATAAAGAACAGAGTAAATCTAGATGAACAGAGCGTAATCGCATATCTTTAGCCGACCAATTATTGTGCATTTCATTCCAAACTGAACAAGAAATATTGCAACAAATAAAAAATTGTCAAATAAAATTAAAACATGTAACAAAAGTGCGCATTTCCGTCTAATCTTATTGATTTCTTCGATGCACTTATACCTTTTGATGCAAGCAATAAGTGTTTAGAAGACACCCAAAACGATATGACGGAAACGTGCTTTTTTTGTATTTTTGGGGTAGTCTAGTTTCAAATGCAATCAGCAATAAAACAGTATACATTCAGGTTTCGGAATCAACAGATTGTTGTGTTTAGTAAAATTATGTTGGTACAGTTAATGAGCATTATTTTATTTTCTCAGCATTTTCCTTTGACATATGGCTTTCATTATGACTTATTTTTTCTTAATCTCTTTCTGGCGGATCCATGTCACCTTCGAAATCATCCACTTGATTTGATTTGGGTTTTCGACCACGTTTCGATGGAACAAGAGACTTGAGAAAGGTTTGATAAAATTCCTTGTTTTTAACGAATGGTAGCAATGATTTGAGATCTGCCAATTTGGCGTCTGGCAACATGATGGGTTCATCTTCTATAGTGTTAAGTTTGATTTGTTCAAGCTCTACGCCGAAGATGATGTTCATGTGCTTGAATTCAGCATCCCCCACATCGTGCTTGTAAAGAACAGTTCCAGGACTATTGGTAGAGTAGCGGAAGACCATGATGTCGGTAATCTTAATTGATTCCCCAGTTTCATTCTTTTTAGGAATGCAATATCGGACCGACAAATCCTTTAAGGCACAGAAATCGCGTTGCTCCATCTCATCTACGTCAAATGGGACAGATCTTCTTATGGCAGAGATGAGCACTACCCAGTCGTGCGGTGTTTCAATATCGATTGTAGTTTTTTTCTTCGCTTTTTCGATGGCAGAATGCACAGTGTCTTCCTCCATAAACGAATGTCCAGTGCGCATAAACTTATGTTCGATTATAAGTTCTCTGCCATCTCTTGCAGCAAGCTCGACATAGTAGGCAAACGTAAACACTACGGTCTTATTGAGGTTCTGACCTACGCAGCGGTCGCTGTAATACGTCACGTGGCGAATAGTAAGAGGCATCTTTTTAAGATCTCTAAGAAGGCAGGAAGCCACTTCCTGAGATCCTCTTTTGGCTTTTCTTTCATCCCACAACATGCAGGTAGCTGTATTTTTGTCGAGATAGGATGAAAAGAAAGTTAAATTGTACGTATACAATTGTCTCGCATAGAAAGCCTGTCCACAGCGAAGGTGCGGTGTTGGTAATTGCTTCTGCAAGTCAAAAGATACGGTTCGATATCTTGAATCCTCTTTGGTCTGCTTCCTATCTCTGCGCTTTTCCTCGTATACGCGCTGCGCTGCT